AAATGATTCATATTTCTCATGATTCATGATACAACCCTTAATCCGTCACAACAAAATTTAGTGACACGCAATTCATTGACACCGACTGTCGGGGTGAGAGCGATGTCCATATCTTAGTTTTTGGTTTTTCCACTTTCAAAACTACTAACGAGAATTGAGACAAGGCGATATCAGTTTATGATTTCTCTTTTGAAAATTGGAAGCCTTCTCTGATATGTATAGCCTTCTTTTGGAGCATTTTACAACCAATTGAACAATCAATATATTAAATGTTCAAAGTACTTTAGATGTCTACACATAAGATGCATTACGATTATGTAGCCAGCATGTGTCTGTAATTTTTTTTATTTAAAAAAATAAGATGCATAGATATATGCGGGCTAAATATTCGTAATTTTCAAATCAGTTTGAAATATTAGATATTCAAATTAGTACGATGTTTTTGAACAGTTCAATAAGGATAGACCACTAACGATTGAGTCTGGTCCAATAGTTACTAAGGTCTTATTTGGAGTGGACGTTGTTAGATGTTGTCTCCGTTGGATCCTTCGGCGGAATCCTCTTTCTAGTGCTAATTACCTTGATTGGTTGGGACAAATGTTGAAGATATTTGCAATGCACTTCGATGCTCAAGTGAGTATGTGAGCTATGAGCTTAAGTTAAGATATATTAGATCATCATGCTTGGGCTTTAAGCCTTTGTTATACAATAGATTGTCCTGCTTATGCCGTCTTACTATGGTGGGCATTTAACTTCATTGGTGGGCAGAGGTGGCTCTTTTTTTTTGGAGATTATCCCCCGGTAATCTCGTAGGTTTCTTATGGACTAATCTGGAGTTCGGGGCAAGTTCAGGATTAAGGCTTTAAACTCCTCTCAAAGATGGTACTAGGGGGGATTAAACACATGCTCTCATCCCCACCTATTCAGTTCCTATGTGCCAACTGAGCTATCATCATTTTGGTGACAGAAGTGGCTCTTGTAGGCTATCCCATATGCAATATGTCTATTTGTGGGCTATGCCTTATAGAAGTAACTGGAATCAGGGTTTCGTAGAGTTTGAACGCTGTGTGATTATATGCATGCACGATAATATTAACGCGGGATTGATATGTTTCCTTTGTTTTAAGTCTTAATTCTTAGGTCTTTTAGATCATTCATGGATTGAGTCTTATATCGCTCGTGGGATTAGACCTATTAGTTTTGTTATTTTTAAGTTGATATCAATATTTAAATTTGTTTTATTTTCTAATGATTACACATAACTAAAACAAAATTATAATTCATGATTTATTGTACAATGAAATGTTAGATTTTTTAATAGCAAAAATAATTTTTTTCTAAATTTTTCATTTAGGAAAGAGACTTCTTTCATTCAATTCTTTACAACGATGATTATTAGTACTATTAACTATCAACATTAAGGAGACGTTTGGTACGCAACTTTTTTATGAAACCTCGGGAAAATATGGTAAGGAAACAAAGAATGCAACATTTGGTTGCTCAATTCTCAAAACTTCCCCGAGCACATATGTTTCCGGCAAAATAGTTTTGTGTGATAACTTTCGTAAGGTGTGTCAAATTAGAGATCCATAAAATAGGTGGAATTGTTGACTATCCGAGAAAGCCAAAATTAAAGCGCAAAAATATGGACTAAATTGACCTTCAATTTGTACGATCTGTAGATATGATTTAGGATAAGGTGGGGTTATTTTGGTAAAATAACTTCACATTTCCATTAATATTTCATGACAATCAAACACAAACTCAGTAAAATTAACCATATTTTCCCGGGAAAATATGGGTCTACCAAATAACTTTTTAGTAACATTCCAATAAAATATATTTTCAACTACATTTCAGTAATAATTATTTCCCGGATAAAAAAAAAAAATTCTCCTATACCAAATGCTCCCTAAAAGTGTTATTTTTTCCCTCCGTTTTTTGGGTCGATTAAGAGCGGCGTTTATAACTTAGACGCATGCATTTCAATCGAGTTGGATACGCCACTACACCCCCGAGGTTTTGAGCTTGGGGCTGTTTGGTAAGAGGAGAAAAAAATTGCCCAGGCAAATAGGGTAGGTAAAATTATATGGCAATGTTTGGTAGAAGGATTGAGAAAAAAGAGTTTGGAAAAAAAATTGTTCATCTTTTGCTTTTACACATGGAGTAAGTCCAAATTTTTGACATGGATGGGATGGAAAAAAAATTCTCTCACGGTGGGAAGGCCATCAACTTTTTATAAGACGAAAATACCCTGAAAATATGTTTGTCTCAACTCTCAACCCTCAGCTGATCGGCCCTAATTTAGTAATAGGTGTGAAAAAATGTTTATGCGGTTTTGCAGTAGTGGGTTCTTCTTCTTCTGCCTTGAGAATGAATAACAAAAGCACGGTCTTTTTCAAGTAATGATGGTTGGTGAAGCAAAATTTGCATGCGAAGGGAAGAGGTCACAAAAGTGCAGAGAGGTTAATGGGTTAGGATAGAGGCTGAGGCAAGGAATGGGAGCTAAAACAGTATCATGCACTAGTTGGGTTGACCACGAATAGAGGAAGACAGGTGAAGAACAGCATTAGGAGAGAAACACATTCAATTTTCAAAATGAGGGGTTATTTGATAAATTTGGTACACTTCCCATTAATATTTTACAATCATTCAAATATAACATTGTCAAATTCATTCAATTTTTCCAAAAAAAAAATTGATCTGCGAAACACTTTTTCTTAACTTATCCGGAAAAAAAATTCCACTTTTTTCCTAAAAAATATTTTTTCTAATAAATAAAAAATTCCCGTACCAAATTTATTTAGTAAATAGTGATAGAAGTTTGGGTCCGATCGTCAGTCGTAAACTGGTAATTAAATGAATGATATTCTTTTAAAAATGTTCATTGTATTATTCAGAATTTTTTTATTTTTAATATAAAAACTTTATTCTAGTACCATTATAGGGTTGTTATTTTATTAGGGGGCGTTTGGTTGAGGAGAAATTTTTTGAATACTAGGGAAATGTAATACTAGGGAAATGGTTGGAAAGTGAGTTTGGTAGGAAAATGTAAAAAAAGTTGTTAGGTTAAAAAAAATTTACCGAAAAATTAGGTAAATGTTATAACGTCTATGTTTGGTTTGAGGTAAAATATTGATAAAAAATAAGTTACAATTATCAAAATAACCTTGTTTTTTAAAAAACTTGAATCACCAATGCTACCATTTACCTTTACTGAGGGTATGTTCGTCATCTTTGGGTGTTGTCTACGTGTCTCCATTTAGCCCCATGTCTCCATTTAGCTAGGCAACCTCCAATACCACATCTGAAATGGAAATATTAAGCTATATATTTGGGTCCAATTGACATGCAAAATGAAATGCTATGAGAGTAATTTAGATAGGCAAATATTGAAAACTCTTCGGGGCTGTTTGGTTGAGGAGTTCTCAACATTTGCCTAGCAAAGTGGAAATGGGTTTCTGTATTCTCCTCGTTTGGTACACGGTTTTAATCACTCTTATCCGATTTGCAGATTTGCCTATCTATTTACAAAAGCATGAAAAAAGGGACAAATTCATTGTTAACGAATCCATCTTCTAACGTGGTATTGCTGTCAAAGAGAAATGGAAAAAGTGGATGAAGAGCGTGACAATTATATCCCTCTTCTTAACTACATGTGACCCCAAGCCTCAGTTACATCTCTCCCAAATATCTCCATTCCATTCGGTCTTTATTCTGAAACCCAAAATCGAAGTTGACTCAAGAAACCCAGATGTGAGCATGGGAGGTCAGGTAACAGTAATAAAACTCAAGAAACCCAACAGTGCATAATCAAGACATAGACCTCAAAACCTTGTTTAAAAAAAACCATCCACGGATGTTCACGCATGAAATGTAACAAGAATAAAAAAAGAAAGTTGACAACGAAGTTAACTCCGTAGCCATAGACCATATGAAACCATGGGCTGATGAGAAATATAAATAACCCGAAAGATACGAACTGAGATGGTATACTTCCTCTGTCTCTGAAACCTAACTCCACCACAAACCCTAAGCTTGAAAGCACGACTCCAATGCAGACCACCGCCCTAATTTGCAAGATTCGTTGTGGCTGTTCACTAAGAAACTAAACCACAAGCTCACTCACCGCCCGGTGCTGGTGGTTGCCGCCTGAAGAGAGGACAAAGAGACTCAAGCAAAGTGAATGGAGACGTTGTTGCACATTTCGAAGACGTTAGAGGGTCCTTCAAAATTTTATTCAAAATTTTATTAAAAGGTTACTTTCCTAAATTCAATCTATTTTCCCATCAAACATTTATTTTCAACTAAACATACACTCAACAATTTTAACCCAATTTCCCCACTAATATTTTGTTAAACCAAACAACTTTTTTTATATTTTCCTACCAAACTCACTTTCCAACCATTTTTCTATCAATTACATTTCTCTAGTATTCAAAAAATTTCTCCTCAACCAAACGCTCCCTTCAATCAAACTTGGTCAAACACAATCTCACTTCTCCAATGGCTATCTATCTGATCAGCCAACTAAATACAACCTTAATATTACATATTGTGCCGAGCACTGGACAAGGGAGAAATGACCCCGATTTTCGGCCCATCATTCAAAAAATTCAGAAATCAACTTATTAATAACAATGATGATAATAACATGTGAATTTTGTTTTATGTTTAATATAGTTTAAAAATAAAATAAAACTGGAGATGAATTTTTACTACAAAAATGATAAATAAAATAAAATTGTTATATTCCATTTTAACGCTACAGAAGATATCGGATTCAACGTCATCCGTTCAACACCTTTTCCACCAAATCCCGATCACTTGAATAGAATTTATGTTTTTATTTATTTTTTAAAATATCGGGTCGGGTCCAATCGGGTTTAGGGGTCTATTCGTAACCGTGAAGCACGGTGCATATTTACAAAAAGTTCCCGCCAGGCATCGTTTTGAAACTGAACGCCGTTGAATTGAACGAAGCTTGAACGTGAGAGAGCATGGGTTCCAATTCCAAACCAATTGATGGGACATCCCTTGATCCATGGTCAGAAATTATGGCCGTTGAAACCCAAGATCATCATCACCAACGTCAAATCGGCGTCGTTTACCGAAGAAGAAACCCTCGCAACAACGCCAACTCGTAACTCAATCTTCGTACCATTTTACTATTTCATTTTTTATTTTTATTTTTTTGAAAATCTGTTTTCATTCTCGATTTTTCCAGAATTCATTCTTCAGATTCTAATTGTCCGCGTCCGAATCGGGTGAGTTTGGCCGACCCAAACAAGCGAGTCAGTTGGAATCGTTCTCTTTCCACCAGGTTTGTTTCCCCATTTCTAAATGTACTGTGCTTTCTGAGTTTTCCGTAAACCTCTCCCATTTTTTTTTTTCAAAGTTAAGGTAAAGCGTTAAAACCGATTCCAACGCAAACTAGCTTGAAGATACTTGAACAGTCTTCTATCACTTTATGCAATCAAGGGTCCCCTTTTATACCAGTTGCTTGTTAGGTTCCTTCTTGTTCAAAATGAATCATATATGCGGCTGATTATGACTGGTTTATACTTGGTTTAATTATGTTTTGAGGGCCACCATGCCATTATTAGCATTTCATGGTAGAAGTAGAACTAGAAAGTATGAAGATAGAAAAACCCCTTTTTTTGTTTTTGAGTTCTGGCTCTCGAAAATTCAAAAACTAATCCTGGGAGTGTATGCCTTTGTTTGTTCACTGCCATTACTTATATTTGACCTGGCAGGCATTGCCAATCTTACTAACTAGTTTGACCTCTTTTAATCTGACGTATTGCCTTTGTGGCTATAGTTTTGAATACTTTGCAGTTATCACAAAAAATTTATTTTTTATGCCTTTGGGCATTATGCTTTTTGAACCTTTTCTTTTGCAATTGTGAATATTCTCTTTGCTCTATTTGTTACATTATGATTATTAATTGTGGTTTCATCTAATTTTCGATAAATCAATTTTAACAGAGGGAGGACAAGTATAGCTGTTGGTGCTTGTATGGTTTACCAGCCTCAGTTAAAGCAGGACAAAAGAAAAGGGAGACCTGCTATTCCCAAAGTATGTTTTTGTTAACTCATGTCTTACATTGTGCTTGGCAATCTTTGTAAAATAATTTTATATCCTGCATCCGCTTTTCCTATTAATCTTCTAATTTTTTTATCAGAAAGTTGGAAATTATGAATTCTTTCTTGTAATTTTGAACAATAGCATCAAATGATATCTAAATCAATGATAGGGAAAGGTTGCGCAACCTCCAAACTTTGACAAGGAGAAATCATATTTTCAAGAGGTTGATGCTTTTCAGTTGTTGGAGGAGAGCCCCTCACCAAAGAAAGTTGGCACATGGACCCTAGGCAATATGACGGAAGGGGCCCCAATACCAGATGTATGCTCCAGATTGGAAAAATGGTTATACTCCAGAAAATTAAACCTATTTATATGAATTTGTTGTTTGACCTAAGGTTGATGGACACTTGCACAATAGTTACAGTTTATCATCACACATTAGCTGTGTTATTGAACGGATTTATATCGTCTGAAGAATGGTGGCACTACCAATCAACAGCCCAAACGAACACAACAAAATGCCAGAGGAAGTCACACCGGAGGATGAACAACAGTATGCAAAACCGGAAGAAGAAAAATTCCGGCAGAGTTTAAGTGCAGGAAAACTGGATAGATTTCTGAAGGTGTCAGTGTCTATTTATAGACACTGACCGGTCACGATGAACAGTCGCCGGCGGCGAACCGCCGTGTCTGATGGCGGCGAACGGGTGCGACCGGTGACTGTTCCGACGAACAGATACGACCGGTGACCGGTTCAGCGAGCAGACACAACCGGTGACTGGTTCACGAAGGGAAAGAACCGGTTCGGTTCAATACTGCTCAAAAAACCGGCGGGTAGAAACGTTTTTTGGTTGGAGGGAAGCAACGGTAAATTTTTTTTTGGACAAAATATTAAAAAATAATTTAATAAAAAATTATTTTTTTATTACACACTATGAACCGAACCGAACCGAACCGAACCGATCCGATCCGAGCCGAGCCGGCCGGACGGACGGCGGCGGCGGCGCGCGCGTGTGTGGTGAACCAATGCTCACCTAGCTCTCCCCCCTACATAAAACATGTAGTGACCCAAGGGCCAATCTAAGAGAGGGAAGTGGGAGCTTATATACTCTCCCATTTCCTACTAATTGTCCAATGTGGGACTTGTTGAAACCCACACACCTCTTCATCTTCCCTTTTTCTCTTTTCTTTATTAACCCACTTCTTATTCATAACCAATGGATCATTGTACATTAATTCATTCATTAATTCCAACAATCCCCCACATGGATAAGAAGTCAAATCATCGTGACAAAATGCATAAGAGTATAAATGCAAAGTGTAAATTCCTCAACGAGAAACAACTGCATCGAGATAGGTGGAGTTACCTTTGAACCTTCTCTAGTGAAAACCTATCGGATATACTCGGTCAATCGGTGGTCTAGGTCGACTTGAACCGTCAACCTTTAGTGTATACCTAGACAATAGGAGTCACACAATTGCTTCTCTAGCATTGTTGGTCCTTTGTTGCGCCCATTTTGGCCGTGGGACACCTGCCTGGTTCTGCGAGTGTTTTAGAGAATCGGCCTTTAAAAATTCTCATAGAAGCGGCCCTCACTTCACACTCACATAGGTGATTTCTTGTGATGTAAATCACTATACATCATCTGAACACAACAGATTAAGAAATCACTAAAAGCCTTAATGCTTACCCTCATAAATACACTGTCTTGTCTTAGGAATGAGTATGAGTTTAAAAACTCCACAGTGTTTGAACAGTTGACCATCACTTAGTTGTCTCTTTGAACCTAGTTCATGGGATCTCCACTCTTCTAGGTAGAGTTACCGCAATGCTCAACAATTGATAGGCCTTAAACCCATTCCTTTCGACAAATTTTCAACCAACTCTCTAGGAATCCCTTTGGTTAACGGATCCGCTATGTTTTCCTTAGACTTAACATAGTCAATTGAAATGATTCCATTCGAGAGTAGTTGTCTTACGGTATCATGTCTACGACGTATGTGTCTAGACTTACCGTTATACATGACGTTCTTGGCCCTTCCAATAGCTGCTTGGCTATCACAATGTATGCATACAGATGGTACCGGTCTTGGCCAATTAGGAACATCCTCAATAAAATTACGAAGCCATTCGGCTTCTTCACCGGCCTTATCTAAAGCAATAAATTCTGCTTCCATGGTTGACCTTGCAATGCAGGTTTGCTTGGACGATTTCCAAGACACAGCACCTCCACCAAGGGCGAACACATATCCACTTGTGGATCTAGTGTCGTTAGAGCCGGTGATCCAATTTGCATCACAATACCCTTCTATAACCGCGGGGTATTTCTCGTAATGCAAAGCATAATTCTGAGTATACTTCAAGTATCCCAAAACTCTTACCATAGCTTTCCAATGATTCTCATTTGGATTACTGGTAAAGCGACTTAACAGACTTACTGCATAAGCAATATCAGGTCTGGTGCAGTTCATAACATACATAAGGCTTCCCAACACTTGAGCATATAGCTTTTGTGCTGTAGCTTTACCAGTGTTCTTTAATAAACTCAAATTAGAATCTACAGGATTCCTCACAGGAGTTATATTCAAACTCTTGAATTTATCAAGAACCTTAACTATATAGTGAGCCTGTGATAATGCCAACCCTGCAGATGTTCTATGGATTTTAATTCCTAGGATAACGTCCGCTATCCCCATATCTTTCATCTCAAACTTACTTTTAAGTAATTGTTTAGTAGCATTAATCATTTGATTATTACTACCCATGATCAACATGTCGTCTACATAAAGACAGACAATGGCAAAACCTTTTTCAGTATTCCGAACATAGACACATTTGTCACATTCATTAATTCGAAAACCATTTGATAACATAACTTTGTCAAATTTTTCATGCCATTGTTTTGGAGCTTGCTTTAACCCGTAAAGGGATTTTATTAAGCGACAAACTTTCCGTTCTTGTCCTGGAACAACAAAACCTTCAGGTTGTTCTAAATATATCTCTTCGTCCAGGTCGCCGTTTAAAAAGGCAGTTTTCACATCCATTTGATGTATTTCTAATCCATTCAATGCAGCTACCGCGATCAACATCCTGATGGATGTGATCCTTGTAACGGGTGAATAAGTATCGAAGTAATCGAAACCTTCACGTTGCCTGTAGCCTTTTACCACAAGCCTTGCTTTATATTTATCAATAGTGCCATTCTCTTTCATTTTTCTTTTGAACACCCACTTACTTCCTAACGGCTTATTGCCAGGAGGAAGATTTACCAGTTCCCAAGTGTGGTTGGACAAGATAGACTCTATCTCACTATTGATAGCCTCTTCCCAGAATGGTCCTTCCGGGGACGTTATAGCTTCCTTATACGTCCGAGGTTCATTTTCCAATAAGTATGTCATAAAATCAGGTCCAAAGGATGTGGCGGTCTTTTGCCTCTTGCTACGTCTAGGTTCATCTTCTATGTCCTCTACGGTATCAGTATCAGTTGTAGCATCTCGAGGTATCTCAACCTGATCATCATCATTACCACTTGATTCATGTTTTTTCTTATACGGAAATATGTCTTCAAAGAAAGTAACTTCCCTTGATTCAATCACCGTATTAATATGTATATCTGAGACATCAGATTTATACACTAGAAAGCGATAAGCACTACTATTAAGTGCATAACCGATGAATACACAATCCACGGTTTTAGGTCCGATTCTTAACCTTTTAGGTTTAGGAACCGCAACCTTAGCCAAACACCCCCACACTCTAAAGTATTTCAGGGATGGCTTCTTTCCTTTCCATATATCATATGGTATGCTTTTTATCTTTTTGTGGGGCATTCTATTAATAATATAATTAGCCGTCAACATGGCTTCCCCCCACAAATTCTGTGGTGAACCGGACGTAATTAACATAGCATTCATCATCTCTTTCAGTGTCCGATTTTTCCTTTCTGCAATCCCATTTGATTGCGGTGAATAAGGAGCTGTTGTCTGGTGTATAATACCAGACTCTATACAGAATTCCTCGAAAGGGCCATCATATTCTCCCCCACGATCGCTCCTTACCATTTTAATTTTCTTGTTGAGTTGATTCTCAACTTCACTTTTATATTGCTTAAAAGCAACAATAGCTTCATCTTTACTATTGAGTAAGTACACATAACAATATCTACTGCAATCATCAATAAATGTAATAAAATATTTCTTATTACCCTTAGATGGTGTAGATTTCATGTCACATATATCAGTATGTATTAAATCTAACAACTCGGTTGATCTTTCAACTGATTTAAAAGGTAATTTCGAAAATTTTGATTCAACACATACTTGGCACTTATTATTTAAACATTCAAATTTAGGTAATAAATCTAAATGTATTAAACTCTTAATGGACTTTAGATTAACATGTCCTAATCTACTATGCCATAAATTAGAAGACTCAAGCAAGTAGACAGAAGTAGTAGTATTATTAATAATATTGGAGTTGTTTACAGTCATCACATTCAGTTTGAAAAGGCCCCCACTAAGGTAGCCCTTTCCTACATACACATCATTCTTAGTAAGTACAAACTTATCAGAAACAAATACAAGTTTAAAGCCATTCTTGCTTAACAGAGATCCAGAGACTAAGTTCTTGCGAATATCAGGCACATGGAGCACATCATTCAGTGTCACTATCTTGCCAGATGTCATTTTCAAAGCCACTTTGCCCACTCCTTCAATTTTTGAAGTAGATGAATTACCCATATAAAGTTTCTCATCATTATCAGTAGGAGTATAGGAGGAGAACATCCCCTTGTTTGAACAGACATGTCTGGTGGCACCAGTGTCCACCCACCATTCGTTGGAGTCTCCCATCAGATTGCACTCCATCACCACTGCTGCCAGATTCAGTTCTTCAACCTGATCAGCAATATCAACCATATTGGCTTGAGTGCTCTTCTTCTTCTTATTGAACTTTTGTGGCTTCCTCTGATCTTTCCTTTGTTCCTTCTTACAATCCTTTGCACGGTGGCCAGGATTCCCACAATTGAAACAGTTACCTTTGAACTTTTTGCCCTTTCCTTGCTTAGCATTTCCATCTTCAGAATATTTCCTCTTCTTTGACTTTGATCCCTCTTCAACTACATTAGCTTTGGAGATCATAGGATTGTTGCCATTCCTCTTGTCAGACATCTTATTGTCTTCTTCTATTCTCAATCTGGTAACCAGATCTTCAAGTGTCAATTCCTTGCGCTTATGCTTCAGATAATTCTTGAAGTCTCTCCAAGAGTTTGGTAATTTCTCTATGAAAGCAGCAACTTGAAAAGACTCACTAAGAGACATTCCTTCCGCATGAATTTCATGCACAATCACTTGAAGTTCCTCAACTTGACTCACAACAGATTTGGAGTCTACCATTTTGAAGTCCAAGAATCTGCCAACTATGAATTTTTTCAAGGCAGCATCCTCAGTTTTATACTTCTTGTCCAGACTTTCCCAAAGTTCCTTACTAGTCTTCAGGGTACAGTACACATTATACAGTGAGTTGTCTAGAGCATTGAGAATATAGTTCCTGCAAAGGAAGTCAGAATGCTTAAAAGCATCAATGGCAGCAACCTTTTCCTTGTCAGACTCTTCTCCCTCTTTCAGTTTAGGAGCATCTTCCTTGAGGAAACGGTCTAGACTCAGAGTTGTCAAATAGAACAACATCTTCTGTTGCCAGCGTTTGAAATTTGTTCCATTCAGTTTTTCAGGCTTGTCAGCATGCATTGGAACAGAGGCAGTAACATTGGCATTGCTAGTACTTACATTAGCCATTTCTGTTACACAAACAGAATCCGAAATTAATCACACAGATTAATTTATCACACAATAAATAAAACAGAAACAGTATATATAACGAAAAATAAGTACTGATCACAGGTTCAAAAGCACCAAAATTGTCTTAAGATTGTTATTGAAGACAGTGGGTGATATTATATCACTAATAGATTTGAACCCATGTATAAAGCAGAGGAGGTAGATGATCAGGATTATCACTGTGTAATTAAAAATATTAAAAACAGACTTACTTGTCAGTGGCAGAATGATGAAACAGACAGAATGAAAGGATGAATATATGCAGTATAAGGAATTAAATCCGAGCCCACAGAACGTGTCTCCTTAAGACAATTTGCCCCCTCACTGATGCCTAAGGTTGATGGACACTTGTCTCCCAGGATAGAACGGATTTCGTCTGAAGAATGGTGGCACTACCAATCAACAGCCCAAACGAACACAACAAAATGCCAGAGGAAGTCACACCGGAGGATGAACAACAGTATGCAAAACCGGAAGAAGAAAAATTTCGGCAGAGTTTAAGTGCAGGGAAAAAAACTGGATGGATTTCTGAAGGTGTCAGTGTCTATTTATAGACACTGACCGGTCACGATGAACAGTCGCCGGCGGCGAACCGCCGTGTCTGATGGCGGCGAACGGGTGCGACCGGTGACTGTTCCGACGAACAGATACGACCGGTGACCGGTTCAGCGAGCAGACACAACCGGTGACTGGTTCACGAAGGGAAAGAACCGGTTCGGTTCAATACTGATCAAAAAACCGGCGGGTAGAAACGTTTTTTGGTTGGAGGGAAGCAACGGTAAATTTTTTTTTTGGACAAAATATTAAAAAATAATTTAATAAAAAATTATTTTTTTATTACACACTATGAACCGAACCGAACCGATCCGAGCCGGCCGGACGGACGGCGGCGGCGGCGCGCGCGTGTGTGGTGAACCAATGCTCACCTAGCTCTCCCCCCTACATAAAACATGTAGTGACCCAAGGGCCAATCTAAGAGAGGGAAGTGGGAGCTAATATACTCTCCCATTTCCTACTAATTGTCCAATGTGGGACTTGTTGAAACCCACACACCTCTTCATCTTCTCTTTTTCTCTTTTCTTTATTAACCCACTTCTTATTCATAACCAATGGATCATTGTACATTAATTCATTCATTAATTTTTTTGCAGACGATATTGTGCTTATTGATGAGAGCAAGGAGGGTGTTAATAGAAAACTTGAATTGTGGAGAAGCACATTGGAATCCAGAGGATTCACATTAAGTCGAAGCAAGACTGAGTATCTGAAGTGTGAGTTTTCTCTGGTACGAGATGAGGACCAAGAACCTGTGCATCTAAATGGTCAAGAGGTACCCAAAAAAGATGCTTTTAAATACTTGGGCTCCATTTTACAAAACGGTGGAGAGATGATGAGGATGTAAATCACAGAATCAGAGCAGGGTGGATGAAATGGCGCAGTGCATCTGCATTTTTGTGTGACCGCAAAATCCCCCTGAAGTTAAAAGGAAGATTCTATAAAACGGCAGTAAGACCGGCAATGCTATATGGAGCAGAATGCTGGCCAGAACATAGGCAACATGAGCATAAGATGGGAGTAGCAGAGATGAGGATGTTAAGGTGGATGTGTGGTTACACAAGGATGGATAAGATAAGAAATGTAGATATTCGACGAAAGGTCGGAGTAGTACCGGTAGCCGAGAAGATGAGAGAACATAGATTGAGGTGGTTTGGGCACGTGATGAGAAGACCCACGGATGCTCCTGTAAGAACAGAAGTTTGTTACCAAGAGCTCAACACAAAAAGAGGCAGAGGTGGGTCGAAGCTTACTTGGGGGAAAGTAGTAAAACAAGATTTAATGGAGTGGGATATAGATTGGCGGACAATATGTCTTAGAACGGAATGGAGAAAAGCTATAAGTATGGTGGAGGGTTAGACCCGCTGTTATTCCTATGTTCCAGATGGTCCCTTTTTAGTCCTTTTCCCCTTCATTTCCCCCACTTCTTCTTGTCCCTTTCTTTTTTACTTTTATTTATTTATATATACATATATTGTTATTTTATTTTATCTTATTTTATATTTTTATTTTATTTGTTTATTTTTATTTATTTATTTTTGGCTTTTTTACTTTTTTACTTTTTTTATTTTTTTTTTATTTTTTTTAATTTTTTTTCAACCGTTTTGTATCTTTCATGTGGATTCATTTATCACCGATCCCAATTAATTTGGGATAAAGGTGTTGTTGATGTTGATGTTGATCAGATGGGACTTGAGTTATCAATTTGAATGTGTTTATTTTTTCCCCGATGGGGTGAGGTTGAGAACTAAATTTTTTAGGGCATTTGTTACCCCTCGGCTAATTTTAAAATTCAAGCTCACAGAATTCAAGTAAAGGCACCTCAAATGTTGTATACAAGAACTACTTCAGTGATTTTTAATTCAGAAGTGTGGCAGTGCCTTTGTTGAAACGAGTAGTGCAGCAATGTCATTTTGACTTCGATCCCGATGGATTTTTTTAGTATGATTGTATGTCCTTGTGTTCATAGGAACATTATTTTTCTTTCTCTAGTGGTTCGGAAACTATTGTGAAAGTTGGTGAAGGAACATATGGAGAAGCTTTCAAGGTTGACAATTATGTCTGCAAAATAGTTCCTTTTGATGGGGACTTCCGAGTGAACGGGGAAGTCCAAAAGGTAACCGTGGCTTTTATGTTGTATTATTGTTGTTTACGGGAGTCATTTTTCAAATGTAACTGTATTTGCCCTTGCTGCGACCAGAATAGCTGATGAAATTTTAATGACTATCCTTGTCAAATTTATTTGAACTGGTCGGGATGCTACTTTCATGGATAAATTATAGTATTGTTTTGTTAATGAACTGTATGGCTTTATGTACTACAGAAATCGGAAGAATTACTGGAGGAGGTGCTTCTTTGCAAAACTCTTAATCAATTGAGAGGAAATGATGGAGATTCTCAGAATCTATGCAGAACATTCATAGATTCCATTGAGTAAGTATCTGACTTCAATAATTTTAAGGTGCTACCTAAATTTTTTTTCCAAGCGAAAACAAAGTTTTGATTATCAATCTTACCACTTAACCATAGTTTTTGAGTCTGTGAGTGTGTACTTTTAGCCATCTTGGAATGGTTGAAAGCAGAAACACGGATTGTTAGCATGGTAACTGCCCTCAGGCCCAGCTTAAAATAATTATTTTGTGCTACACACTGAAGACAAATTTCTAATACTTTTGAGGTTAAGTGCTAGCGTCTCATGTATCTATGGTTGTGTCTTCTGTGATAGATTTAGAGTTTGCCAAGGTCCTTATAATGCAGCACTGCTTCGAGCATGGGAAGTTTGGGATCATAAGCATGGTTCAGAGAATGATCACCCAAAAGAGTTCCCAGAGAAACAGGTTTCCTGTTTTGACTTTGTTAGTTATGGACTTGCGTTTATTTCTAATTTAAATTTCACGATGTTACTTATAGTGATATATTGCTGCAAACATAAAAGGATGGGCATGGATTTTGAAGCTTCTAGCCTCTTCTGTGAAACAAGCTCATGCTAATTGTGTTTCACAGATAAAGGCTATTTGTAAAAAAAAAAAACCGGTTTCCTGTTTTGACTTTGTTAGTTATGGACTTGCGTTTATTTCTAATTTAAATTTCTCAATGTTACTTATAGTGATATATTGCTGCAAACATAAAAGGATGGGCATGGATTTTGAAGCTTCTAGCCTCATCTGTGAAACAAGCTCATGCTAATTGTGTTTCACAGATAAAGGCTATTTGTAAAAAAAAAAAAAAAAACTGTTGGAAAGTATAGATAAGTTGGGATACTCTTTGGTTACTAATTTACTATATTTGTTACACCAAATGAGAAATCCACAATTCCATAGATCTAAGTGTGACTAAATCCCCCAAACAAGAATAGTTACAGTTAACGGTTGCATGCGTATACGAGTATACGAGTATACGTTCAATATACTCACATTTTGTTTCATTTAGTGTTACATGGTCTTCGTTCAAGAACACGGTGGTAAGGATCTTGAAAGTTTTGTACTCCTGAATTTTGACGAGGCAAGGTCTTTACTGGCTCAGGTATGATTTACATGTTACGATCACAGCTACTGAGCGCTTACAGCTCGATGAAGGATTAATTTCTAGAAAGTTAATTTCCGTCATAAAATACAGGTTACAGCTGGGCTTGCTGTGTCTGAGTCTGCATATGAATTTGAACATCGAGATCTTCACTGGTAGGGTCATCGTGCAGTGACGTTATGTATACAATCATTGCGTTTGTATGATTACTAATTTATGCATATCCAATTGCTCAGGGGAAATATACTCGTCAGCCGAAGTGATTCTGTAACATTGCAGTTTACTCTTGATGGCAGGAGTATGCTAGTTAAAACGTATGGATTGTTAATATCTATTATTGACTTTACTTTATCAAGAATAAACACGGGTGAGCGCTTATAGTTTTGGCTTTAATTTGATATCGGATCTTAAACTTATCACTTGCTATGATTAACTGTCCTATATACACAGGTGATAGAATACTCTACTTTGATCTTTCCTCAGATCCTGATCTATTTAAAGGTCCAAAGGGAGACAAACAGGTAAGGAATGCTGATTTAGAGTCGTAAGTTCCGTTAGTTCCATGTGATTGCACAAATGATTCTTAAGTATCACGTGCAGTCAGGAACATATCGGAGGATGAAGGAGGTAACTGATGATTGGTGGGAAGGAAGGTAAGATTCTCATACATTTATTTAATTTTAGTTATCAAAGTCATTTTTCACTCTATTGGAAAATAAGAAGTTGAATACTTGATTCTGAGTTTCATATTTCGTGTGTATGCGTGGAGTGTCCATTGTGAGAGTGAAAGAGTAAGAGTGGGAGGTATATAATATTTTATAGCGAAGTAAGTGACTGGTCAAGTGCTCCCTTACGAAACCAAGGAAGGAGAAAGAGAGGGAGTATGTTCTTTGGTCACATATAATAATCACTGACGGATGGGAGTTAAGGCTTGTCTTGTGAATTCTTGCTTACATGGGTCTTAAAAAAAGAGTGATTATGTGCAAATTACGTCTTTGATTTACTTTGGGCAAAAGTATATGAATGTGGTGCATGTTCTCGTTCTAGGATAAGTTCCTCTTAAGTTTTCCGTGTAGACCATAAAATTTTTACCTGACATTCAACTGATTCAAGTATAATTCCGCGCCAATATGATAATATGATTTGGAATTATAAATTTTGGCACACTCGTCACATTAGCCCCGGTATAGAAGTTACAATGTTCTTTGTTGTTGTTTTTTATTTTCCCAGACACTAAATCCTTGTTGCTTTTCCGAATTCACAGTTTTCCTAAAACGAATGTGTTGTGGTTGATCTACTTGGTAGACATACTCCTCATGAAGAAATCGTTCGTAAGTCCTCTATCTATTTTTAGAAACCACGTGCCAGTTATGCTAATTTTTCGTATATGGATTATATGGATTCTGGTAGAATTGCTATTTTTAGTTTTTGATATCACTCTGCAAGTCTTGCTCTATTTACTTTGAAGTTAGACAACTGTGCTTTACTCGTTTTCAATATAGTTTCACTCTTAATCATTTTTCTTTTTTGGTAACACTCTTAATCATTTTTAATGATGAGAAAGTCAGTCTTTTTATTTTTCTGAATACACTATACGCGTTCACTTTGGTATGTGAATTTGATGATTACTCCTGAGCTGAACAGCATTTTTTTTTTTTTTTTTTGTTGTCTTTTTGGGTAATCACAAACTCTATAGCCTGAAATGAATTGAACAGTGTCAACAGAATGGCTGCACTAATTTCTGGTTAAAACAGCAAATAATGGATCATAAAGTAGGCAGTAAGTATATAATGAACTTTCGTTATTGCAGGAACGTACTTCCAAGAATGAGAGAGATCTACGCTCCTTGAAGAAACGTTTGGATAAGTATGATTCGGCCAAGGAAGCAATTCTTGATCCCTTTTTCAGTGACATGTTCGTTGATCATGGCAAGTGAGGTGTGGACTGTGTACCCTGAATCTGAATTTGATACATCACTTAAAAATTATGCTTTCTCTGCTTACTCTTTTTTTGTTGCTTTCTGTACTGTAGATGGCACTTCTACGACTCTCTCTGTGGCACAGTCACAGAAAGAGAACCGTCTCAAAGATTTGATTTTCAACTTTTCGTTGTTCCTGTGTCGGCGCCAAATTTGCCATTTGGCTTCGCCATCTCCATCGTTGTTATTCAAATGCTCCTGAGAGGATATGCTAACAAGTAACAACTAAATACTGATTAGTTTTCAATAGAACTTGGCAACATATTTATGCAATGTACTTTTAATTCTTGTACTTAAAGTGATAATTATTTTAAAAGGAAGTATTTAACGCCTTAATTAGGAGCAAATATATCGTGGACCCGACTCATGTGGGCAGCTTGGCGAGAAAAGGAAGAGAGAGAGAGGAGGAAAAAAGAGAAAGAAAAGGACCAAGGAATTAATTTTCCTTAATTAAATGCATTTATTTAAAGGTATGAAATGTTTTTCTGATACAATATAATAAAAATTTTATTTATTAGTTAAGGTTTTTTCTTTTTTTCTTTTCTTAATAAGAGACTAACCAACTCCTCAACAAATTTAAAAATTAGAGTTTTGATATATCTCCCTGACACTTTTTTCTTATACTTAATAAGAAAAGTATTAAAGGCAGAAAGTTTTTTAAGAAATTAAAATATATTTAATATTTTTCATCCAATAGTTAAGAGGATTATTAAGAAAATTAATCGGATGATTTTAAATTATTCATTATAAATGAACGTACATTTATAATTGATATGATCGACGGCGTAAGCTTTCTATTCCTAATCTGCCATTATATTTTTGCAGCTTGGTGGTGCAACACTGGTTGATAATGATATCACTCAAAATATACAATTTTTTAAGGGGTTTGCAACATGAAATTTTTTTTTTCCTACACACACAATATTTTGTGGGGTTCGCATGTTTTGAAGCAAAATAAAATAAAATAAACTAAGGCACGGAAAATGAATCTCTGTAACATGACACAATTACTTTTCCTACAACATAACTCTTATAAAATCTATTTTTTAATTAGTTTAACTTTTGTTACGTTGTACGAGATATTTTTATTTTTATGTACATATAAAAATGGGATATTTTTTTTTATGTTGTAGGAAAAAAAACTATCTCATGTTGTAGAAATAAAAGTATAAGTGGGACCAGAGGTAAGAGGAGAGAGAAAAAAGAGTGGAGAGACCCATCTATTTTTGTGTGTGTAGGAGAGTTGTTTATCTCATGTAAAATGAGATAAACATAACCCTATAAAAATATATAAGATCTATGTGGGATGATATAAAAGAAGAGGAAAAAAAAACTAAGACTCATATACTTTTATGTATATGTAAGAGATAAAATTATTTCTCACAATATGATAAATGTTAAACTCTTATTTTTTTATTTTTTATTTTGGTAGACTTAAACTCTTATTTCATATCATACAATGTTACTTTATTGAATTACCAATAAAAGGTTTGCTTTAAGATTTTTTATTTTTATTAGTGATGATAAAACGACGTCATTTTGGGGTTATAAGAATAAAAAATTATAATGACAAAGACTAAAATAACACTGCAATATATTATAATTACAAAATCATCTTGATTTCCACCTCAAAACAACATCGTTTTGGGCTCACTGTAGATAACTTATCTCCATTGACCGGAGAAATCATTTACCCATATATATATTATATGGGAAAAACATGTATCCTTTTAAAGGATATAATTTTATATCATTTTAGATCCTAACTGTTGATTTCCGTCCATCAACAGTTATAATCTATTGGGTCAAACTTAACGGGCCAAATTTATTATTAATTAATTAATAATTTTAATCTAATAAATTATAACCGTTGATGGACAGAAATCAACGGTTAGGATCTAAAATGATATAAACTTATATTCTTTAAAATGACAGATGTTATTATTTACAAAAATAAAATAAAAATGACAGATGTTATTCCCTATATGTATATATATAGGGTTTTATAAGAATTCTGTATTAGAAAAAATGATTGTGTAATGTTATAGAGATTCATTTTGCGTGCTGTAATTTTCTTTTTTTCTTTTTTCTTCAAAATGTGTGGACCCCACAAAATAGTGTGTGTAGAAAAGTTTGTTGTGTCATGTTAAATGACAAATGCAAACTCTATATATATATATATATATATATATATATATATATAGACACAAGAAAGTTGAAACAACTTTATTGATACTTGATGGCACGAATCCATGCCCTTATAGAGGAACTGTATGCTTCCCGTTTTGTGGTTTTGGAGATTTAGAAAGGCTCCTTTTTGACACACAAACTGCGTCAGCCCTATCACTCTCTTGCTTTGCTTTTGGCTGGAGGCCTAGTCAGATAGTACTTTTGATTAAGTTGAAAGGGTTTCGCACAATAGATTATTCCACATGGCTTGTCCCCACTCATATTTAGGCACTCTAGGGCTTCGCCATTTCTAAAATTTTTTGCACTATTGCATATGATGCTTGCACAGCACAACCCATAAACCAACAGCCAATAGCCAAAATTGAATTTTTGGGCCTACTCCACCGAAAAAAACTTTTTTTTTTCCCTTCAATTTCATCCATGACTTTCTTTTACTTTTAGTTAAATATCAATCCATTACTCTTAGTAATGGTTCTTGCTTTTAGCGAATATGACTGTTTTTTGTATAAATCTTAAGATGACGCCAACCCACATGGTCTGATCCCTCACATCTCATCTCTCAAAGTAAAATCATTTCTTTTTCTGGCCAGTTTTTCCCCCCTCCTATACTTGTTAGGATAAGAAAAAAGTAAAATTTCCCTTAATTTTCAATATACTGGTGATGAAAACTAGTTTAACAATAAAAAAGTGTCAACAGTTTTTGTTCATTGTAAAGGGCTAAAGGCCAGTTTTTCAGGATTTATTATTCTTGACCGAACTTTCCCAAAGCTGAATTTATTGAACAACCGCCACCTTGAAGATGCGGTTGGTACATCATTCATGAATGAGTCAAGGAATCCAACAGCACAAACCAATTGCACACAATAGACCATCCATTAACTTTGCTTAACATGTGCATAATCCAAATTAAATTAAAGTTTCATAAAACTAAGCAAAAGACAAAAGGTCGAGTCTTTACTTAACAGAGAGAAACAGGGCATGTGTGTCCCAGTATTTGTAAATGCAAATGATAAATTTGGTCACTTGGAAAGAGAGGCAGCTAGATATTGCACTAGGGCTTCGGGAAAATTAAAGAAGCAATAAAAACATGTTGCTTCTTTGTACAGTTATGTGCTCTTATCAGACCAAAGACATTTCCAGCTCCATGCTTAATGACAAAGTAAAGTCTTTTCTTTTTCATCACAACTTGGTCGCTTTCTTTTGTTGACACTTGTCCACCCTTTTCGTTCCTCCTCACCTTTAAGGCTTTTTATCTTCTGCACCTTCCGGGCCTAGGTGCTTTTACAACCAGTTCCATGCCATGTTTTTAAAAGCTTGCACGAATCACAATGATGATCCAACCGGGTAATTCTACATTCCAGAAGCACTCTTTTATAATGGCCAAGGAAGCTTCTCTATGCCTCTTGTTCCTCTCTTTTTTCATTATCTGCTGTTCGGGTGAGTAACTGATACTGGTATCGTTGAGTAATCAGTTTTTTTGTTCTGGTGAATATTCTCAGTCAAAGTCACAACTTTTAACATTTTCTCCTTGGTTTGTTTCTGTTTTTGAATCTGAATCACCAACTGGGGTCGATCCTTTTCATCCCATAAGTGTTGTACAATTTGTTGTCTTTAGTTTTTTGGACTACTCCACTAGATTCAAGTAAAAAAAATAAAAAACAAATTGGGGCTTTCATACTCTAATCCTATTTTCTCACTCTTTGCAGGTACTGTGGTGGGTTTTTCATTTCGGGAGAGAGGAGACACTGCATTTTCAACATCTGCTGGAACCACATTCCTCAAGAAAAACAAGATCTCTCAATCTCAGATTCGATTCTTTGTAACAGATCATAAGATTTTGAGCACTCTGACTAACTCCGATGTGTCAGTTGATTTATTCTTAAATAAAATCCGGGTTGAAAATCTTGTTTCTTCAAAATCATCTGGAGTTTCATGGCTAAATGCTCATCTTGTAAACATTCTTCCACAAGTACACATCAGAAGCATCATTGTCAGTTGTGGCAGGGAGTGCTTAGGCCAAAATGAGACAACTTTACTTTTATCTATTCTGGAATCAATGCATTCAATTCTCAGCAAGCATCAAATAAGCAGGGAAGTAAAAGTCTCAGTAGCATTTCCACTGTCATTCTTAGAGAATTTGAATGCATCATATGAAAATGATCTCCTAAGGATTCTTTGGTTTATGAAGAAAATAAATTCATTTATCATGATGGAAGACAGCATGGATGGGGAATTAAGCATGGGGGATCACTTTGTTCAGTCTGTTATTAAACGAGCCACACTTGCTGCTTCTATTCTTCCATGCAAAGATGTTCCCGTGGTTCTGACAATCAAGGGCTCAGTTATTCCAAGTTCAATGGAATTAGCTCAATTTAGTGAGGCAGTATCCAAATATATTGAAGCAAGATCTCATATCACAAAAAGGATAGTTGCATTATATGTAGAAGTACACACCACCGAATATTTTGTACAGAATGAGCTCAAAATAGAAGAGGAAGAGATATTTCCTTTGTCCTACAGAGAAAACCTAAGCAAAGTCCATATCAGAAGAACTCTAGATGAAACAAACAACTCACCCCCCATAAATCCAACGTCAGATACACCAGTTGTCACACCTCCAGATACACCAACCATCATCGCAGTTCCTTCCACCAATCCTGTCACAGTTTCTCCCACCAATCCAGCTGCAACACCTATGACAGTTCCTTCTACCACACCTGTTTCTTCAACCCCAACAAATCCAACCAATTCCCCAGTACCTGTCACCAATCCGGTTACAACTCCCATTACAGTTCCAGGGGCACAACCTGTGACTTCTTATCCACCCCCATCAGGAAGTGTTCCTGTGACGACTCCTCCCCCAAACACAACTGCTCAAGCCATTCCGGGGCAGAGCTGGTGTGTGGCAAAGACTGGAGTTCCAGAAACTACTCTACAATCAGCACTGGACTATGCTTGTGGAATGGCAGGTGTAGATTGTTCACAAATACAGCAAGGTGGGAATTGTTACAATCCAAATTCCATCCAAAACCATGCTTCTTTTGCCTTCAACAGCTACTACCAAAAGAATCCTGCTCCAACAAGCTGTGACTTTGGAGGGGCTGCCACTATAGTTAACACCAATCCGAGTAAGATTTTAATAGTTTAATATCCCAATTTTCTATATTACGCTTCACAAAATTGAAGACCATTTCTAAAGAACACTTTTAAATTGTGACTAGGCTCGGGTTCTTGCATTTACCCATCATCATCATCTTCAGGAGCAGGCACATCCGGGTAAGTGAAAGGCTAGGCTTTCATTGCTGCAAGAATTCTTTGGTACCATTAAGCCTTGAAGATACTAATCATGGTCCTTTATAATACCATATTTTGCAGCTCTGGTATCTCACCTTCAGTTATTGGGTCCCAAAGCCCTCCTCCTGATTTAAGTACCTCGCATTCAGCTGATCTCAGACCTTTTCTTGGCTGCATCATTCTGGTGATATCATTGGTCAGTGGAAGAGTCAGTATGAACTCATAGAGGGATAAGTTTTCCATAGAAATCAACAGAGAAGATCAATACTCTAGCTCCACCTTAGAGTTGTACTGGTCTACAGGTGCAGAAACATTATAGTAGAAGTGAAGAGTACGTGATGATGACACAGACAAAAAAACGTTCGTCCATATGTTAAGCTTTCGCTTAGGTGAAAGAATATAAGTTAAGGATTTCAACTGTGGAGATGACTATGACTTGTAGCTTCTAGGCTGTGTAACAGGCTATGGTCAGGTCCGGGTACTAGAATAGTTCATTGGTCAGAGTTGTTTTGGAAATTCATTTGCTTATAAATTGGGGATTGTTATTCAGCAAAAATACTTCATGTGGGTAGGGTTAAAAACTTAAAATCAAGGAAACTAGGAGATGGTCAAGGGAACAATTTCGTAACTTTAAAAAGAGTCTGTTATGAGGGCCTGTCAAGATTTAGATGAATAAAGAGATGTCACGGTTCATATAATTATATGTAAAGCAACAATTATGGTATTGGTAAACTGTGAAGACTTTTGAGGAACCACTCCAAAGGAGCACTTCTCAATTTTATTTACCATAGAGCATGAATGTTTGGCTATACTTGAACCATAGAGGACCTAACCACTGATGTGTTCAACACAAACCGAGATAGTCCATTAGGTATTTAACTACAACGTCATCCTTAATGAGTAAATATGAATGTGATCTTCCTCAGAAAGCCATATATCATTGTGGTGTGGATAAATCCACAAATTAACAGCTTACATTCAGGTCCTCTCACTATTAACAACAATGATGCAATGAACTAGCTTTAACTATATGAGCACAGATATTGCAACATAACTTTTACACAACACCGCAAAAATGCTTGTGATCTTAACTCTTAACAAAGCATTTCTACAATGCAAAAATGACTTGTATCACTTCTCTAGACTTCTTGAATAAACTCGAAGGTATAATTTCTCTCTATACACAAGAATGGTATCATCGCTTTGAAATTACCACCAAGATCAGCAGCATTGACATGGAGACCACGATTTTGAATCCAGAGGTTTCCCAGAAATCATTTTGCTGTTCTGCTGCCACAACCTCGCTTTGTTGTTTTGCTGCTAATTGATCTCTCAGTTCTTTAATAGCTTGGTCCCGTCGCTCTCCCATCTGTCTTTCACAAACCCATAAAATGAAACATGTCAATTGATAAGGATTGACGTGAAGCCCACGTATACGAGGGACATATACCTATTAAGTTGCTTATTTAAGGTAACGGAATAGAACAATAAACCAATCACGGTACCCATGAAAAGGGCATAGTAGTAGATGAAAAACCAAACCTTGTTTGTAAGCATGTTTCACAATTCAATGCATATTCTGATTCAAAAACAATCAAAGCAACTGATTTGAAAAATGCAAAAAGCAACACCAATAGAAGAAATAGATTAGTACACGAAAGTTGTAACTTAGTATACATAAATTGAGTACACTAAACCAAAAAACTGATACATCATTATTGTCTATTAAACAAAAAATAATTCATATAAATTAATAGTACATATTTCGCAAATGAACAATAATGATATCAACTTTTTATTTGTCTCTTTGGATGAATTTATCAACCAGTAGAACCCAATTCACTGTAAATAACAGGAATAATATGAATATTTAAAAGGGAAAAACTACTCTTCAGCTGTAGAATATTAAAGAGAAAAGGCTGGATTTTACCCGATGGAGCTTCCGAGTCTGAGAACGAGTTTCCTGCAGACAAAATTCCAACTTCAACACCCTCTTTTTCAGCTCCTGGTCGATATGCCGCTGTTTCTCCAACTGTATTAAAACACATTAATGCCATTAAATACATAAGCCATGGAACTTCAAAAGAAAAGAAACCACTAAATAAGTGAATGACTAATTACGATGCAAACAAGGATTGCTTTACCTGTGACTCTAATTCCTCCGTCTTGAGCTTCCAATAGGCAGACATAATCATAATTTCATCCTTCAGTTTTGCTATTTCATCATCCTTAACAACCAGAAGCTTCTCCATGTTCTCAAAATTCTTCGGAGAAACCTCATCTAATATTTTCCTCAGTGCAAAATACTTGTTCTCTCCAGCTTTTGGGAAGGTCTCCATAATATCATGCTCAATTCTTAGGACTTCATCTTTCAATTGCTTTTGCAAAGATTCCCTTGCCAGAAGATCTTTCCGTAGATTATCTAGTTGCTCCACCAGCCTAATGACACAATCCTCATGCTTTCTTAGCAAACTGTTTTTCTCATCTAATTCTTTTAGAAGTTCAAAGCATTGGAGCTGTGCTGATTGAGCTGATGCAGCACTTGCATCTGTGCTTGCTTTATTTGCTGAAAGCTGTGTTCTAAGAACATCCATCTCCTTCAGATACTGCATCAAGCAATGAAAAAATATAAAAGTATGCTCACGAGTCAAGGACACGCAGATTACTGCCTGGGCTAAATAAACATGTATCAGGGATGGTTTTACTTTGATGAATTACTTTGCACCTGAATGCTGTTGTTCATTAGAGAATCCCAGTCACAATCAGAATACAATACTCTATTTTAAATAAAAGTGGATTGTCCTTTTGCATAGCTACATGAAACCATTGTTGCAACTACTTAATATTTCACTAAGATCCTGTACGTATTCTTACAATACAATCTATTTATATGTTAAATGTGTAACTGTTTTTCCAAAAAAGTCTAGTATTTCATCAATAACTTTTTGCTTGAACCCCAACTAAGTAAATAAGTGACTGCCATTGAGAAAGAATTTCAAAAGTTGGAGTCTGGCAGCACCTATTTGAAGTGTGTTGCAGATACAGAGAAGTTCTTGTTCTGTTGGCTTTACTTAGTTATTGGTAGATGTCAAATCCCTAGACATAAAATATTGCATTACATATGGCACAGGAGAAGTCACTTGAACATATTGAATAATACCTTATACTTACATATGGTTAAAATCAACTGGTTGACTACGAAAGCCAAAACTGATATCCAGCCTTTGTAGTTTATACACATTGAATGATAACTAATTGTAACAATCTTGGAAAAACAATGACAGAATATTCCATACATTAAAATACTTTACAAAAAAAAAAATATTTATATTTTTTTAGTAGTAGTGATGCAAAGCTAATAATTAGTGTTTAGTGTAGGCAAAAAAAGTGTTAGACAAAAACTGAAAGACAATCCAGGTTAAAAGGGAGCAAAATCATAATATATCAAAACACTTAGTCACGCTTTTTCTGCTATGGGAGCCACTAGACTCAAAGTGGACAACTGGACAAGTAAAAAGTATCCTAAAAGAGGAGCATCGTGTATCACAATATATCATTTGTTTAACATATACGATCATCCACACCACGCAAGAAAAGTAAAAGACATACTCAATGAATCGTGGAAATTTTTTGGATGAACAAATTATAATTAACATCACTTTTGATCACAAAGCAATATAAGATCAAGGGAAATGTTACAAAAAACATAGTACACATTTTACCCCCTCCAAAAATAAAATAAAATTGGTAAACATAATTCAAACCTTCACAGCAGAAGAAGCTGAAGCCTGAAGCTGCTCATTTCTTTCTTCCAGTTCATTCTGCAATATGCCAATCTCCATTTTCATGCTCTTGGCTTTTAACTCTGCTTCCTGTGAAGAAGAAAAAAACACATTCAATATTGATCGATTAAAACCAATGAATTATCCTTGATCCTGTTAGAGAATAATATAGATCATTAAAAAGATCTTCACCTAACACCTTAAGATTTTTGGTTGAATTGATTCTTTATATGGTATCAGATCTTCGGGGACACGAGTTCGATCACTTGTGGAATTGAATAAAAAGCACACAAAAAAAGGTAAACCAAAGATTGGGCCTGTGCAATATCCACCTCCAAGCCCAAAAAAAAGCCCTCACCCTTAAGGTTTTGGGTTGAATATACACAAAGACTCAAAAAGTGGAAATCATTGACATCAAGGTTGCAATGATAATATGACAAAAAATGAAGAAAAAAAAGGCTTGGTTTAAAAATAAAAATAAAATGACACAGAACTCAAAACCATAGAAAATTTTGTACCTGTCTTGTTAGGATTTCTTTAGCACATGATTGCTCCTGGGATGCAAGTATGCCACGAACCTCCTTTAACTCTGTCGCTAATGAAACCACGTTTCGCCTAAAGCTCTGCCTTTTTTCATTTAAATCCTTTAACAATGGATCAACATTTTGAGCTGCTAAGGATGACAACGGTAAATAACCTGATGAAGATGAGGACTGAGATGGTTTCTCCAAAATTGACATGGGAATTACAAATTTTCAATCCAATGTTGCCTTTATCTACTTCTGAGCTAATCTGGGAGGCAGTGTATTTACGTCAAATCAAATCCTATGAACAAGAGATCACCAATTTGTGGCTGTTACGCTTCATTTCTGCATGTGAACATGATACTTGAACAAAAAAAAAAAGGTAACTGAAGACAAAACATATTGCTCACAAACCCACAAAAGAAAAAAAGAAGCTAAGTCGATTATCCAAACAACAAAGTAAAGGGTTAGAGAAAGAAACGTAACGTAGCATACCATTTTGTGAGCAGAAGATTCATTCTCTGACTCTGTGCAGGGCGTCCAGTCCAGATTGATTCCTAAGAAACAGAAGCGAACGCAGCCGTGCGTGATTTCACCAATTTTCTTGTTCTTTATATAATTTGAAACTGTGTTTTTTTATTAGTTACCTTGTCCTATATGGGAACTGAGTGGTGTTGTTAATTGATTCGATTGGTTCGCTAAATAAGTGAACTGTTTTTTTATTTAGGTGTGAAAGTGTGAAACATTAGGTCATTCGAACCTTGTGTGTTCGGTAACAGGACAAATTCCGAAGCTACAGCTTAGAGCTAGGATTCGATGGTCTTGAGTTCTTGACACTGTTCGCGGCAAATCCAACTATTGATCTCGACGTGTCATTGAATAACACGTGGGTTCTTCATTTATGCAGCTGCCACATAAATCTTCATTACATAATACAGTATTATTAGAGGGAAAACATTTTTCTATGTCTTTTTCTTTTATTAGTGATTTTTGTGTAATTTTTTTTTTTTGTTTTTATTTTTTTAATAGATGTGAGCCTCACATAATGTGTATTTACAGCATAAAAAAAAATTCTCCTACCGCATGAGAAAATCGAAACTCATTATTAAATTCGATCATACTGGTTAATGATTCAATCAAAGAGTCCCTTTTATAGCACCTTCAAACAAGTTTTCGATCTGAAAACACTACTATCTTGCTTTTAGACGAAGGAGAAGGATATTGTAACAACTAATTAGTGTTATTATCAATGTTACTACCAATCAATTTTATTATTAGATTAAATGTTACTATTATCTTTATATGGTTATAATTCTCCATATTTAATACTTTATATTTATTTTCACATTTATATAGTTATAATTTTTCATATGTAATGTTTTAACCATATAAAAATGAAAATAAATATAACCGTTGGATCAACATAATCGATCTAACGGTGAAATTGATTGGTAGTAACATTGATAGTAACATTAATTGGTTATTACAATATCCTTCCCCTTTGATGAATCACATTAAAAATATTTTTAAATAAAAAATTATTTGGATATTAAAATTAATAAACATTTTTTATATATAAAATTACTATATATGTAATGTAATGATAGTAAAGTGGAGTAGGGCTGAAGTAAAATTAAACTTTTTAAAAAATATTTAACTTTTAGCTTCTATTATTTTTGAAAAGCAAGGAATTCTTATTTTTTTAAAGAAATATTATTTTAATTTTTTATAATTCTATTTTTTTTTTAAATTGTTATCCTAACATTATATAAAGTTATCTAAAGTAACTTTACAAAAAACAAACCCTTATTTAATATATATAAGAGTAAAGTTTCAAAAGATAGAATAAAACAATATTAAAAAATAATAAATCGTGAGTACAATTCGAGAAATAAAATTTAACTTAAAATAAAATGAAAGAAAATGTTTTAAAAGTATAAAAATCTAAATTTTGGAACAAAAATTAGTGTAAAAACAAAAATTTGAATTAATTAATAATTTTAGAATTTTTAAAAATTATAAAAAATAATGATGAACAACAGTGAAATCATAATTCATAAGTATAAAGAAAATATAATTAGACATTATTTCAGTCTCAATAATGGAGATTCTATTTTATTATATAAGAATGGATTAAAATGTAAAAAAATTTAAGTCAAGTAAATAAGAACTTTTTCATCTTCTTTTTAATTTAAAGTGCATTATAATCTTATCTAGTTAAATAATTAAAATTTAATATATTTTTACTTACTCATTTAAAAAAAGCATTCCTTAATTAAAATTTCTAAATAGAACTTTATTTCGTGGAACTCAAGCGCAAATATGATTTAGAATTGAGTCTCAATAACATAACATTAAGCTTTTTATGTTTTTAAATTTTTAAATTTTAAATATCTTAAAAAGTTAAATATCTCTCTAATAGGTTTTTTTGTTTATAAACACTCTCTAATAGCTTTTTTGGTATTATGAATTTTGAAACCATTGGGTCAATCTTAAACAAAACGTCAACGTAGTGTTTGGTTGAGGAGAAATCTTTTGAATACTAGGGAAATGGTTGGAAAGTAAGTTTGGTAGGAAAGTGAAAAAAAAGTTGTTTGCTTGGATGAAATTTTACTGGAAAAATTGATTTAAATTTCCGAATTCCATGTTTGGTTGAGAGTAAAATAAAGATGGGAAAATAGGTTGAAATTACGAAATTAACCCTTTTATTTTTTTGAATGTGATGAACCCTCCCCAAAAATATTCGTAGTCTATAGTTGGACATCTCTTCTACCAACGTCAATATTTCCCATATCTCTGTATTTTTCATCTCTTCAAGCTCTGAACTGCCCCATAAGCTAATGGAATCTCACCAAGCATACAACACAGCAAGCTTGATTTTCAAGACCCCACTGATCCACAAACTGCTACCTTCCGACCATTTTTTATCATTAACTTTTCTGTAATTCGAATTGTTGGTTTCTTGTGGGCTTGATTATTTGTTTCCCATGAATATTCGCCTGGCTTGATTTCAATAGCAATTACTGAGTTTTTTAAAGCACGCGTATTAATTCATGAATTGGTTTTGATCCTCTTCCTCTCACTGACGTGCGGTTAAGATGGGAGGGGTAAGCTTGTCATGCATTTTTCACCATTTTCCAGTTATCAGCTTTCTATGGACAATACCACCTTCACAAAAGGCTTTCTAAACACTGTTCAAATTCAGATTTCATTTGATATCATGGATTGCTAGACAAACATCTTTGATAGGCAACAGACACTAAATCCATCTACCAAACATGGAGAAGGAAGAAACCCATTCTCACTTTGCTAGGAAAATATCGAAAAGTCTCCAACCAAACACTACCCAAATGAAAAGAAAAACTTCTATCATCTATGCATCGAAACTACCGAATTCGGCGATCTCTTTTATTAAAAAGAAATTTTCTTTTCTTTTTCATTCATATTTTTTATATTTCTTTTTAAGTCTTAAAAAAATTTCCTTTTTGATCGGTGGACTGAAATTTTCCTCTCAAACGAAAATTTGCTATATTGCTAAAAAAAAAATTCCGGCACGCTGTAGGCTCTCTTAAAATAAACTGAAGTTTCTTAATTTCCTATATTGCTATTTTTTTTTTTGGTGAATATTTCTATACGAATTTCATAAATTGAAACCGTTATATATTTTTAGTGATATGTGAGAAACTGCTATATCTAACAAAGCACACAAAATTTACAAAAAAAAAAAAACAAAGCACACAATAAATTCAATCCTAACTATCTACTATCAAGTTAAAATGAAAGTACCTCACCAAAAAAAAAAATGAAAGTAAATAACGGACAAGAAAGGAATCGAACCTTCCGCCATAAGCCCATGACCTTACCTAATATTAGTAGGGATATGATCCGTTTACAATTTTTTTTTTGTAAATTACACTAAGTACAATCGATCGTACACTACATGATTAAAGTATGACTGGTCGTATTTAGTGTAATTTATAAGAGTTTGTAAACAAAAAAATTTGTAAATATAACCTGTCCCATATTAATATAGTATTAAATTTGACAGGGGTTACTTGTTAAAAAAAACGTTAATTAGTATGAAAAATAAATGTTCATTGACCAGTTGGCCCCACCCAGACATCAAAAAGGAATTTGGTAATCATTCCACGTCATAAAGTTTAATTTCCACCACTCAACCCCTACCGACCCACCCAAACCATACAATACGCAAAAGGGCAAAAAAAATCAAAAGAAATATCGTCAATGAAGGGGAAAAAAGTAGGTCAGTGGATCCATGAGAAGTTTCTATAAAAATTTTGTGTATTTCTTTCATTATTAATAATAATTAAATCTTATTTATTTAATGTATATGGGAAAAAAAACAAAAATTTCATATAAAATTTAATTTTAACATAATAAAATTTGTTCCCCATATTTCATGGATTGGAGTAAACCGGATTACCCGACCCTAAAACTGATAAGCTCACTGAACTGGACTCACCAAATTCTCGGCGCACAATTGCAAGTGGCGCTGCGATATCTTGTTCACATCCCTAACAAAAAGGGCAAATCAGTAAAAGCACAGCATATGCAATGTGTTTTGTTTGATACAGTTTTTTTTTTAAATTTAAGGTTTGGTGGACATGCTCATTTTTCGTAGCCTTATTATAAGCAATTCTAAGCGAAATTTGGGTTAGGATAATAGATTTTTCTTTTTTCAAAATTAAGTTTATATCTTCTTAAATTTTCATAAAAATATGATCTGCATGAAATAAAATTTCATTAACTTCCACCACGCAATGAATCTCTAATTTTATTATCATTTTTTATGTATGTAATAAAAAGATTAAACTAAGAATTAATCTATAAATAAGTTAGAAGAAAAAAATAAATTTAAAAAATATATAAAATCGTATTATAAATTTTGATACAATTTAATTCCCTTTAATGCGTAATGAAATAACATAAGGTCTGTTTAATTTTTATTTTGTTTTTGAAATTATTTTATAAAATAATCAATAAAATGGGTATTTTACGTATTTTTTTTTAAAAAATATAATATATTCCCAAAATTTAATTATGAAAACTAAAAAAAAAAGATAGTTTTTAGAATTATTTTTTTCACAAATATGATCAAACAAACTTTTTAATTTTAAAAATTAAAAAAAAAAAATTTAAAAATAGAATTCAAACATACTCGTAATCAAGCCAAAATATTTATCATTATTTATTTGAAAAGGTAAAATCATTTATGCAGCCGCTTTACGTACAGCAACGACATATGTATGGTTATGTTCTCCACGTTTAATTTTTTTATCCTTTGTATGGTTATGATTTCTCGTATTTACTACTTTCAAGTATATATATAGCAAGTATTTGATTGTTGCACGTACATCAGTCGCAGAAATGTAAATCCCATTTAAAAAAGTGTTTGTTATTTTTTGTTATTTTAAGTAAAATTATATTTAGGTGCCTTTTTACCTTTTCTCTCATCTCATTTTATTTCTTTTCCTAATTTTGTGAATAGAAAATAAAAGTAAAAAGACACTAAATAAAACACAACAATTTCACCTTAAATAAAGTAAGTTTGTATCATTGAAAATAGAGTACAGACCCAAATTGGTCCCTGAGAAAAAATGCGGTGGCCAAATTAGTCCCTAATAAAAATAAACTCAAAAAAAAAAGTCCCCAACAATGTTAAACAGGTCACACGTTAGTCCTTCTGTCAAATGAAAATTGACGGAGTGAGTGACGGTGCTGATGTGTCACGTTAAGTGACATGCAGTTGCCCACGTGGAGTGCTTGGACAACGTCGTTTGGTACAAACTCAGCCACTTGGACAACCCTTTTTTCTAAAACCCAATTTTTCCCCTCACCTAACCGTTGGACACTTTACCTTTTCCCCCCTCTTCTAACATCGACACTTCATCGTTGAGAAGGAAGGAAGAAGACCGTCCATTAAACCCTGGTGCTTGCGTTTAGAATATTGCCAACTTTTTCCAGAATCGAAGGGAACCAGTGGAAGAAAGAAGGGTCGTATTTGGATACTTTGTGAGGCTGAGTATTCCGTTGAAAAGGGTATGAGTATTTATAAGTTGAAACATTTTTATATTGTTGTTTGTCATCCTTTGTTTAATGTTTGTGGTTCCCATGTTGGTCCCCTTTGTTTAATGCTTGTTTTTGTCTGCACGAAGTGGAACTTTGTGATCCATGTTTCCATATAGGGTTTTGCTTTTAAAGAAAGTGACAACCGGGTGGTGTGGTCCCTGCCATGGTTGACCCATTTAAAAACCCCATGTCTGCATCCATAAAAAATAGTTTTTTTATTGCTTTGTTTTGTGTTACACTTTCAAAGTTTGTGGCTTCATGGTTTAATGATAGGAATGTTTTCTTGGTTTTGACAGATGTCCGAATACATAGTTATTGTTTATCATCACGGTGGTGTTTTAGTCAGAGATGAAGATGGAGTGATGAACTATATAAATGGAAGGGTGGACTCATTGCCAGAGATGGACATTGACTACTGCAATATCCGTGACCTTGACACCCTGTTTAAGCAATATGGCTATGAAAAATGGAAGTTACTCTGTTAGGTGTGTTGTGGTATGTGTGTTGTGTCATTGATGATCCCTACTTAGTACTCTATTATCAATATGTGTCATCTGTTTTCTTTGATCTTATGTGTTGTTGTCAAGTTACTGATGTTAATGATCTTATTGAATAATGCAAGCTGAAGTTATTTCCATTCTGGATTGGTTAGGATATTTTCATCTCTTTTGCTGCCAATGTTATACAGCTTCTGGTTTATGAAATGGTATGGTATGTGTGTTATGTTTGCCTTGTGTAATGTTGTTTGATAACCTTGACAGGTCCCCCACAAATGTTTTCGAGGACCATTTTAGTCCTTGATTTTTAACAAAATTTCCCATTTCAGTCCCTGACAACTTTATCGGGGGTCACATTGGTCCCTGCAACAATTTTTTCAAATGGCCACTTATAACACCAGCACTGTCATTTCCATAGAAGCTAATGTTAATGTTAATCATGCTGATTAGAGATTATATTTTAATGTTTTTTTTGTCTTTCACATACAGGGACTTGTCCCAGCCTTGAAGGAAATTATGCCAGGTTCACACCACAGGTTCTGTGTACAACATGTATGGAAGAACTTCATCAAGCAGTGGAAGGATAAAGAGACAAGACAGATTGTGTGGGAATGTGCTAGATGCACCACTGTTCCCCAATTTGAGAAGGTCATGCAAAGGCTGAAGTCTCTAAACGAACCAGCTTGGAAGTATCTTGACAATATACACCCTTCAGCATGGGTTAAAGCCTATTACAATCACTGGCCTACATGTGACAACATCACGAATAATATGGCTGAGGTGTGGAATGCAAAGATTGTCAATTATAGGGACAAACCTATAATGACATTGTGTGAGGAATTGAGGTGCTACATAATGCGAAGGATGGCAGCACACAAGAGGATTCTACAAACCTTTAGAGGATTCTACAAACCTTTAGAGGATTCTACAAACCTATAATGACATTAGGCCAGTTCGAATGTCTTAGTAGGCATTTTTTTTTGTTATTAGGCCATTAGCTTGGAATTGTAATTAGGCAAGTTTTTTAGTTTACTTTGGTTTTGGCCCTGTTTAAATTATTCACCAATGACTTTTTTTGTATGCCTCTGGTTATGGCCATATTAAGTATGAACACTTTATTTTTTGGGAAGACATAGTGTTCCTACTTAATGGTTTATTATGTCAGTGCCAATTGTAAGTACACAGTCATGATATCAATGGAATATGCTTTATGGATTACTAAATCTCTTATGTCATTACTAGTTTGGAATTGCTGTCATTGATGTGAAATGATTGGAAGATTATGTCAGTTTGGTTACTATCTGTATTCACTGTCATGATTGTTTTCTATACTGTCAAACAATACTATTTTTTGATTCATTGCTTGTCTTGTTAGAATATTTGTATGCTGTGTCATTTTGGGGTCATGTGTAAACATACCTGAATTCTGGTTCCCTTTTATGCCTTATAAGTCCCCCACAATTTGGGTCGAGGACCATTTTAGTCCCTGTAATTTTTTACAGTTGGAAAAGTAGGTCCCTAACAAATTCATCGAGACCCAAATTAGTCCCAGTAACACATGACAGTAAGACCAAAGGGGCACCAAAAGCTGTTACCACAAAAGCTCATTCCCCCCTTCTGTTTAATTCCCTCAATCCTTGTTGTTACTGGCATTCCCTCAATCCACAGAAGCTCATACAATCTTTTGACATTTTAATTGGCATTTCAAGATAACTTAATACTTAGCAAATTGTGCTTTATGAATAATTAAGTTCAAGGACATTAACCATTTTAAGAACAATCAACATCTCATTACATCCCAACAATGGTCTTTCCATTACAGAGAAGCATACATATTACATTAAAAATGTGCATTTCACTCCACCCTATTACAAAGATATAAACATATTACAAAGACAATGATAATGGATCAGCTAAACCCACATTTACACAATGGAGCAGCTCTCCTTCTTCCACTACTGAACCCAAACGAACTACCTAAGCTCCCCCTTCCAGAAGACATAATCATGGCATAAACACAAAGTTCAACCCTAAATCGAACAGTATACACCCACCTTCCCTAAACCGTCAATCATTTTTCCTAAACCGTCAATCAATTTTCCCCAAATTCATGCGTTCAACCTTCGATTCGATGCCATGCTTTCTGGTTTTAGTTGAACCCTAAACCCTAAACGACGACGTTTCTTGGATGAAAGAGAACTTTGTGTCCAACGTGGCTGAGCTTACCCAAACGACGTCGTCCAAGCACTCCACGTGGGCAACCGTATGTCACTTAACGTGACACATCAGCACCGTCACTCACTCTGTCAATTTTCATTTGACAGAAGGACTAACGTGGGACCTGTTTGACATTGTTGGAGACTTTTTTTTGAGTTTATTTTTTTTATGGACTAATTTGACCACCGCATTTTTTTGTCATAGATCAATTTGGGTCTTTACTATTTAAAATAAGAAACAGTTAACCCTTGTTTGTTATCTTGTGCCATCAAATACGATAGTCGATATTATATGAGCCCTAATCATTTTCCTAATTTTTTTTCCCTATAAAATCTGTAAGAGTATTGGCTCAGCAAAGTTGACTATTTTTCCTCTCTCTCTCTCTCTCTCTCTCTCCGCCGAAGCATCTTGCTCTTCTTCTTTTTCAAAGTTGTAATGTAACCCTTTCTTGCCGTCACCTCATCGTTGACAACAAAGAAGTAGAAATCGAAGTCGTAGTCGAAGTCGTCACTCACAGACTCAGTGAGTGTATAAATTAAAAATTAGGTTATCGTGTGGGTGAAGAAGAATCAAGATCCAGATCATATGGGTGGAGGTGGAGTTACGGCCAACGCGGAGGCGCAGTACTCGTCGGCGAAGACCTCCGTGTGGTGGGACATAGAGAACTGTCATGTCCCGAAGGGTTCAGATCCACACGCCATCGCTCAGAATATCAGTTCAGCGCTTGTTCGCATGAACTATTGCGGTCCTGTTTCAATCACCGCCTATGGCGACACTACTAAGATCCCTGCCTCTGTACAGCACGCCCTCTCTAGTACCGGAATCTCCCTCAACCATGTCCCTGCAGGTAAACTATCTGGGATTCCGTCACGTTGAAATTGTTAGATTTAGGTATACAGCGTGACGGATGAAGAGAATAGTACAAAACAATATTGTATATAGACGTTATCTTATGCGATACAGAACACAAAGTACTGATACTAATTAAAAACCCTACAATAAGAAAACAAATATGAAATCGGAATTTTTTTTATGAAATATAAGGAAGTGGAGAAATTACCCTTAAGAGGTCTCTATACTCTTGAACTATTTTTGCCTAATTAAATCCCACAATTACAGTTTAATTTACAGCTCAATTTCACATTTCATAGTTCAGCTTATCGCCGTAGTTGTCAAAAACTATCCGTAAATACAATGAAGAGTAGTAGCCTTGGTACTGATGTTAGTATTGTCGCCATGTGATTGGTAGATCATATGTTCAAATCATGCTACCAGCTTCTTGCAAATGCAAGGTAACACTGCTTATTATAGATGCATACAATTGGTTTATAGACACATGCAATGAGATTATAGATCCACACAATGGGTCTGACCCTTCTGTATTGTATTTTTTTTATTATAAATACAAGTTAAATCATTTCTCAAAAAACAATAGTATTACTCTTTAATTAGCTTAGAATTTCTTCTTACCGGTGAGGGGATTTGAAGGGTTTAGTGGGCATGGCTGTCTGATTATCTTAGTTTCCTGTCTTGAACCTTGTCAATGTGTCACAAGCTTTCTCAACGATCCTTTGTGAATATATTCATTCCAAATACTGTGAAACTTGAAACTTTCAATTTCTTATATACATTTTCATATGTGGTAATAGGTGTGAAAGATGCTAGCGACAAGAAGATTCTTGTTGACATGCTGTTTTGGGCAGTGGACAATCCTGCACCTGCTAATTATTTATTAATTTCGGGTGACCGGGACTTCTCTAATGCTCTTCATCAACTGCGGATGAGGAGATATAATATTCTTCTTGCACAACCTCAGAAAGCGTCAGCACCCCTAGTTGCAGCTGCTAAGAGTGTATGGCTCTGGACTAGTCTTTTAGCTGGCGGACCTCCTCTAACTAATGGTGAATCACAACAACTTGGTAATGGTAGCATTGGATCATCTTCTGACAGCGTACACACTCCAGTCACAAGTTCTACGCAGATACAGCAACAGCTGGGTTCCTATTCTGAAGTTCATGTGGGAAATTCGAAATTTCCAAATGGAGGAAGGGGATTTGATTCTAGATATCAAGGGAAAACGGCCTGGAGAAACCCAAGTCAACCAAATGGACCCAGAGCCATGAGTCCACCGCCGGTTGGACTTCAAGATAATCATAATAATGTATATTCTCATCGACCTGGCAATTACAATCCTAATGTTCCCCTAAGTGGATCTGCTAAAAATTTTGTTCGAGCCAATACTGATCAGTTATGGAGCAATAACGGTAATCTACAGGGCAATCGTCCAAATCCTTATCCACAGCCATTAAGATCAAACAATTTTCCATTGCAACCTCCTTTTGCCCCTAGTAATTCACGTTCTCCAAATTCCCACACTTTTGCAACTTCACCAATGCCACCGAGGACAGGTGGTCCCAACTTAACTACGGGACCACTTACAAATGTGTCAGGTATTGGTAATCTGAACATTTCTGGATATCCCAGCAGTGTCCATAATCCACTTACTGTTCAGCAACGGGGTGGAGTTTTGAAACAGAATCCTAACAGTAATGCACCACGTCCGGTAAGATCAACTGATGAACAAAATGGACTTATGGTACCTAGCAGTAGCATGCAACAATTATACCAAGGCCATCCACATGGTCCGGAATATCAACCTCCACCATTGGCAGCAATGGGTAATAATAACCTTCCTGGTAATGGTATGTGGGGATCTCCTGGATGTCCTAAACCTTCTGAATATGTCCAAGGCCTTATTGGGGTTGTTTTACTTGCCTTGAACTCACTAAAAAATGCAAAGATGTTGCCAACTGAGGCAAATATAACTGATTGCATCCGTTATGGAGATCCCAAGCACCGCAACACCGATGTTAAGAAGGCTCTGGAGAGTGCTATTGAGCAGCAGATGGTGGTGAAACAAAATTTAGGTGCTTTGCCATTGTATATCGGTAAGAATGATAAACTTTGGAAGTGTGTAAATCTCATAGGTGGTAATCCTAAGCAGCACTCAAATGAAACTTGGGATGAAATTCAAAAGTTTTTAACAACTTCTGCTGGAAGATCGGCAATATTGGCTACCCAGTGCAAGTAGGAATATTCTAATTTAGTTTATTTTCATTTCCTGAGAGTTGTCTCAGTCTTCTAATGTCTTTATTTTCCTTCTCTAGGTATGAAGCAGGTCTTGTGATAAAGAGTATGTGCTTTAAAGATCTTGCTTTGGGCGATGTTCTTCAGATATTGAACATGCTGATTACCCATAAAAAATGGATTGTGCACCATCAGTCTGGTTGGCAGCCACTTAACATTACTCTTCCTGAGACAGACCCTGACTCAGGGGTCGATGCTGGCACATAACTGCACCCTGATTGGGGTAATAGAAAGGCACCCAGAGAAAATCTCATAAAAGTTACTGAATATATTATGAGCCAGTTGGACTAGGAATTATTCGAATAATCCTCTTTTTCTCGTGTGAATCAAAATGTAGGTAGTAATGGTGAACTGTAGTACGATAATCACGTTGAGTCTTTTTGGTCATCTTGAGGGAGAAATGAAAGGAGCATTTGGACAATAGTTGAAACATACCAAACATGCAGTTTTCGTGTGGTTGCTGAGGTTCCGACTATTGCCTGTTATACATCACAGTGAATCTATCCTGGAATTAGTATGCTTTGAGCTTCTGCTCGTTTTTTTTTATCTTCCTACAGATCTATATTCTGCTTGGAGATTGCCTTATCACACTGAACTCCTTCGATCCTTTTATTGAAATATTCTAAAAAGTGATTGGGATATTTGCCAAATGTGTTTTTCTAGAAGTAGATGAACCTTCAAGCAAGTTAGGTAACCGCCCTCAATGCTGTTTGATTATAACTTGAGAGAAGGGATCTACCAAGTCTAATTCTTGAGAGAGGACTGTGGAATGCGAGTCCAGAAACTTTTGTATTGCCTTTTGTTCATTGATGGCTACGTCTTCGAGATGTTGCAGGGCGTTTTAACTAGTGGACAGAGAATACTAAGATTGCACAAAAATTGAAGGAGACCGCACTCTAAACTCCTTCATGAAGCTCATGATTTGCTATCTCAACAAAATTACAAGGTATGTTTATTATGGAAATTGACTATGAAAAATCACGTTATGCAGTTTCAACATGATTCAAATATGGTGAAACCAAATGGTAGTGCATCCTATGAAATCTCTGGTTGCTGATGGTGCCTACATATTATTTATATGGAATTAGCTTTAGGATGTCTGGCTCGAAGCTCATAAATCGGTAATTTAGACGGGAATTGGTCTCTGGTCTTGCTGCTTTCTATTGCTTTTTAATGTTAGTAGATGCGTCTATAAACCGTATTTTAATATTTGCGTTGTATCAGACAGATTGTTGTTTAAATATAAACCGTATTTTAATATTTGCATTGTATCAGGTTATCAGACAGATGGTTGAGATTATCTCGGTAGATGTCCTTAGGACTGGAATAGCGTTCAATTTGTTTGATCTAATTAAACTTTCTTAATCTTTGGAATGGTGGTTCTCGTGTTACACTGATCTGCCCACTGGTGTTAGCACTGAGTACATAACAAAAGTAAGGGTCTAGATGACAATTATTCTGTTCGGTAGCATTTTTTCTGAAAAGAATTTCCATGACTCGGAATAATTTTTGAGAAAAAAAAATTGATAACATGTTATATTTTTATTTCGAGAATAAGAATTGTGTTTGATAACACAACAAATAATATAATAAAAAATAATTTCTATTAAGAATAAAAAAATTTCGAATCATCACTTTTCTTTTCATATTTTGTGACGGTAGTGGAGGTGATGGTAGTGGTTGTAGCGTGGTGATGGCCACGGTAGTGGTGGTGGTGGTGATGGTGTTAATGACATGGTGGTGGTGACGGCAGTCGCTGCGATGCTGGTAGTAGTTGTGGTTGGTAACGGTGGTGGTGATGGTGGTGGTGATAGTGGCGGTGGTAAGGTGGTGGTGACAACGGTAAGGTGGTGGTGGTGGTGATAACAGTGACTGCAATGATGATGGTGGTGGTGGTTGGTAACTAGTGGTGATAGCTGTGGTGATGACGTGATGATGGTAGTGGTGATGGCGTGGTTGCTTCAGCGATGATAGTGGTGGTTGGTGACGGTGGTGGCAATGGTGATGATGTGGTGGCAGTAGTTGCGATGATAATGGTGGTGGTAGCAGTGGTAGTGTGACACCTAAATATTTGAAAAATGAGATTATATTATAAAATTAATTAATAAAGAAAAAAAAATATTATCAAAATTTCTCTTGAGAAATTGATCTTAAATATTGTCTTAGGGAGATTATATTAAGTTTGAGACCTAAATTAAGGGTGGGAGTGTATAAAACACATATCCTATCAAGAGAGTACATTATTCAATAGGATGCATATTGCATAACATGAAATATTTATTTTTCTAACTGCATGTTTAAATTTACTCCACAAATAAAATATTATGCGATATTAAATACTAAGAAAGTCAATTATAATATTTGAAATGTTAAATTAAGTATGTGTGCGTAATGGAGAGATTGAAAGGGCCTAAGCCCAAAGACTAAACATTAACAACTTAGGAATAAGGATATGCATGAAGCGGTTCATAACCGGTTTCGACAAAAATCGAACCGATCCGATTTTAAACGGTTTGGTTTTCAAACCGAACCAGTTTTCTTTTTTTAAAGCCGATTTTTAATTTTCTAAACCGGTTTAAAACCGGTTTATGGTTCATAACCGATTTTGATTTAAAATCGGTTTTAATTTCAAAACCGGTTATGAACCATAAATCGGTTATCAAGTTCAAAACCGGTTTATAACAAATAATTTTCATGGTTATGTATAATCTCAATCGAAATGGTCACATAATCTCAAAATACAAATAATTTCCTCATTCTATCTTCACACAACACTCTTCAAGTCTCAATCAACAGAAACGAAAGAATCAAATTCCAATACCTTTGTACCTTCTTCTTAACCTTGAAGCTAGTGGAATCCATGAAACCACGTACAACTCCGTCATGAAAAGTGATATTGATATTAGGAGGGATCTATATGGAAATATTGTGCTTAGTGGTGGGTCAACTATGTTTCCTGGCATTGCTAATCGAATGAGCACAGAAATCACTGCTCTTGCTCCCAGCGGCGTGAAAATCAAGGTGGTTTCGCGACAAATTAACCTCGATAACAAAGTTCACGTGTGCCAAAGAAAACCTGAGCCCCATCGCACTCAATTCCTCCCCCAAAAGCATTCTTCGAAACTCCCACTCCAAATTCGCAAAGAACAAGAACAAGGATTTTGCTTCAAAGTTCACGGAACCAAAAACGAAACAGAACGCTGTCGTTTTGCGATGAAGGTAAGTAAAACAGTTTGGTTATGGATAACATGGATAACCAATTATTTTTATGGTTTGGTTAATAACCAGTTTATAAAATAAAATGCAGTTTGGTATGAAACCGATTTTTAAAAATAACCGATTTTTTAAATATGGAGTGGTTTGGTTATGGATTATAGTTTGGTTCTTTTGGACATTTTGAACACCATGGAATTAGCAACAATTACAATAGTCAACTCCCTAAGCTTTTACAAACCGGCTCAATACCCAATTTGCGAATCCATCAATATAGATATTTCTTTTCTTTTTTTGAATAAATCACATGTATTCTTCATGAGAGACAATTTTATTCGGAACGAATCCAAAATTAAAACTATAAACCACTTCCAAAGATAGTATTGAAAAAGATCCAACATTTCTTTATCCGAGATGATGATGATTAGATTGCTCATACTAATTCACTCACTAGAATTTTGTGTCTGAATAGAGCAAATATATTGATAGAAAAACTCTTGAATTTACTAACTCTTTTGACCATTACCATTCATTATTCTCTTTCGCTTCTCTCTTCTTTTATCATCAAAATCAGTCGTCATTATTTTCTTTCTTTGTCATAACTGTACTTGAGTGTTTGTGCATCATGATGTCTTTTTCTTCTGAATAAAACATGAAGTCCAACAATCCAACATAGATTTATTAAGCGAGAAAACTAACAAATTTTTATGCAATCAGAGGATAGGGACTGGACTGCATTTAGGAAAAATGTTATAATAGGCGAAACCGTGTTGTGTCTTATATTTCTTTTTTCTTTTTCTTTTTCATATCCACGTACCATACCCTGTATCCATGCTTCCTAGCATTCCTAGTTAATTCGGTGACCAGACGTTAGAGTCACCTTTTGATTTCCTGGAATACAACCTTTCATACTGAATAATAAACAATGAAAAAACACTTGAATTTGGGAATTGTGCGTATTATCAGTCTACACAAGAATCTATATTTAAAATAAGGAATCACACGGGCTTGAGCTCTATTTAAAAAATGTGATACTATAATATAAAATCTATATAAATACATGCTACGATGGGGTTGACACCGGTGGAAAGTCGTGGTCTTCGCTGACAAGTGACTGGAGGATAAGATGGTGGAGGGGCAGCTGCATGACTAGACACACCTTTGGACAAAGGATCAAAGAATGACACAATATAATGTTAAGAGGTTTGGAGAGTAGCAATGATACACCTTTTGAAGACGGGAATAACTAAGAAACAAACACTTGAAGACGTTAGTCATGAGCTTGTCTTTCCCTTGAGTAAGATTGCGAACAGAACAAGTACAACAAAAAACATGAATAGGCACTAGATGCAATGGACCATCAGGGAACAAAATATGAAAAGGAACTTCATTGTCTAACACGCGGTGATTAGGACAAACGACATAGAAAAGTGGCCGAAAGGATGCACAACCAGTGGAAGGCTACCAGAATGACATGCAGTGGGGAAAGAAGGTCGTCTGTGTGAAGCACGAGAAGGGGGGCGGCCGCTGCACAGTGGGCACAACAAAATTATGATTAGGGTTTAGTGGAGGCAAATCTTTCAAATCAAGAGCTCTAGTACCAACTTGAATTCTTGGACCCTATTTACACAATGTGGTACTATAATATATACAGCCTATACAAATCCATTCTCACAAAGACAAACAGTTGAAATGTCAAACTTCAAGGTTATTGTAAAATTTGATATAAAGTATAACATCAATTGGTGCAATGAAGGCTAAAAGCATTAAACCGGCAGAGAATCACGATTATATTTACAAGAATAAGTCCATAGATCTCAACAACACTGAAGTTAATCCTAGGGAATTCTGCTCAGCAAAGCTAAAATGAGCAATTGCTGTAGTTTCTCGGTAAAACCTGCAGTTCATGGTACCGAAACCATCAGAACTAGTCAAGTTTGCAAGCAACCACAGAACCGTTGCTATTATTCATCATAAAGACGACACCAACACCTCTCAACTGCCAATAAACAGAACATCGCTCTAATAAGAGTGAAACCAAATATAACACAACTGGAAGAATAAGAACAAAATAATTAAAATAACAACTAACAGGTGTTGTTTGGTTAAACATAGAAAGATGGCATGGACTCTTAACAGTTTCGAAAGAACTTGCTGCCTCTATACGTATATTATGTACCAAAACCTCAACTGTAAATTCACAAGCAGTACCAAGAATGAACTTCCTCCACTTTCACATGGTTATAAGTATGAGAAAACATAGGGTTGCAACTTTTCTCAGTAATGCTCCATTTATGAAGGAAATATTAATTTACCCTGTAACGAATCTTACTTGTTTCCAAGACAAGAATTTTACATGAGTATTGGTTTCAATAGACAGGTACAGAACATAAAATCTCTACGGTAAACGATATCAGTTTGCAAAGAATAAGATGCTATGAATCACCAACCAAGAGAATCCCAAAAGGGCATGATCACGGTAAAAAATATTATCAATATTCACTAACAATAAGGGAATTTGACGAGAACAGTTCATCACATTCAAATTTAACAGCATGTCATCCTTCAAAATGCAGACAAATTTTTTCTATCTTTGAGAGGGAGTAGGGATGGTTAATCTATGACACAAATGTTAAAAATAAGACAGACAGAGAAAGCTTTAGGTCAAATTAGGGAATATGATAAAAAAGATCAAAGATTCAAACATTATAAGGAATTCAAAGTGCGCACTTCTGATGGGATAGAACAGCAATTGCCCTATACATTTAAAGCCTTGCAAATTAACAATTATTCATGGAAAATAATGTGAATTTATGATGTTTACATTTGTTTTACCAGCAGTGTTTCACTCCCAGCATATAAAGTATAAAGGAATATCCACATTGATGCTGCAATGATGCAGAAACAAAACTTTTTAGATGGGACAAATCAAATGTGCAGTGGATTTGGGCACCTGCTAATGTCAAATACTTGTATTCATAATGACATTTTCGATGGACTCGGCACCACATTACGGCACAATCACCAGCCTCAGTCTCACAGCAGTTATATATTCAATGCAAACCACATATTTGGCAAAGATATTGATAATAATAGATGTATTGTTTAAAGGAGATCAGAGCAAACCTCTTCATTCCGAAAGAAGAGTACAAGTGAAGCCACTTTGGACAAGTTGGTTAACTCCATCCCTGAACTTGTAATAGTCATCAACTTTGTTGTAGACTTGATGAGAAATTCGTGCATATCCAGTTAGTGGCCCAACTTCCCCATCTCTGGGAGGTCGATAGTATATGGGGACTTCAACTCCAAAAGCATCCCTCAAATGTGTCCTTAACTTGAGAGCATCAGAATCACTAGCAATCCCCAAAGAAGCAGGCAAACCAACCATGATCATGCTAGAACACATATGTCGAGGTGTCCCAAGATGAGTTTCCCAAGCTTCGGACAGCATTTGTCCCATCTCCACAACAGCATCATGATTCCTCCTCTTGATCCCTTCAATACCACCTTCGAATCTATTAACGAATTCCAAAGCCGCAGGAACAACCAACTGAGCACTATAATCCCTTGTCCCAATCCAAGCACTTTCTACAGCCAACCCATTGCCATACTCATGAGACACCACAGGATGATGCAAATCAGAACACTTGCGACTGTACAAGAATGCAATGGAAGGTGGGCAAAAGAACCACTTATGCAAATTGCTGGTGTAAAAATCAGCACCAATCTCTTTCATATCAACATCAGTACACCCAATAGAATGAGCAGCATCCACAAAAACCTGGTCAACCCCTTCCTCCCTGCAAATCTGAATCAATTCCTTCACAGGAATAACAACGCTAGGCATGGAAGTAACATGATCAATCACAGCTAGCCTAACCCTCTTACCATCACCCTTTCCACTCTCCAATGCCTTCCTAAACTCAGTAATAATCTCATCGTTAGAACTCACAGGAAAAGGGAGAGGAACTTCAACAACTTTACCTCCAGCACGCGTCACATAGGCCTCAATGGACTTCTTGACAGCACCATAAGCGTAATGAAGCATGAGGACAACATCACCTTTCTGGAATGTTCCTTCTCGGAAGGCCCAAGCGGTGTGCTGAAGAACGATGGCGGCAGCGGTGGTGGCGTTGTCGACGATGGAGATCTCATCCACGTGTTGAGCGTTGACCATTTCCTTGATTATGGTTCTGGATTGAAGAATCCCTCGTTTGAGTTCGTTGAAGTAGAAATGGTCGGGTTGCCGGAGAAACTTCAGCTGCCACTGTTGTTGGCCGGCGATGACGGAGGCGGGGCAGCAACCGAAGCTTCCGTTGTTAATCCGAGCAACGGAGAGGTCATGGTGAGAAAACTCCGATTCAATCTCCGATGGAGTGATGATAGACAGTTTTGGCTTTTTGGTTATGTGAGAAAGAGCGGAACCGTTCTGTTCCTCCACGTGGTTGTTGTTGGATGCCATTATTGGAGAGTTCAGTTCAGTTCAGTGGTGAAGGTGAAGATGACAATTCCAGAACAGGAACAGGAATTGGAACAAGAACACCATACGAGAAAGCGAAAGAGAGTGAGATTAGGGACAAGAGAGACACAACTAGGGTAACTAAATACCTTCAATACTATGAAACTAACTAAAAGACAAATTTACTTTTTTAACAGTTCCATTGCCACACCTTCAATTCTCGCTTACTCACGTGATTTGCACGTGATTTGATTTATGTTCGGTTTGCTGTTTCTTTCGTTCTGATCCAATGCTATCATGTGATTATATACAGCGAAAGGAACCACGTAGATGTAGGTTTTAATACGGCAATAAACATCAGCTTTAGGCTTTGCTTGAATCCTCAATTGTACAATTCTGCAATTCGGTTCATTCAAAAAAGAAAAAATAGAAAAAATAGAACCAAGTTATCTGCATTTATTCCCAAAACGACGTCGTTTTGGTATTGAAATATTAAAAAATTATAAATATAAAAACTATTATAACCCTAAAATAAATTAAAATTACAAAAATACCATGATTTTCGTCCCAAAACGACGTCGTATTGGCTTACTGCAGATAACTTATCTGCAGTAACTGCAGAAAAAGCGAACCTATATATATATATATATGGTAAAATCATTTCTGCAGCTGTTTTACGTACAACAACGACAGGTGTATGATTATGATTCCTCATAATTAATGCTTTCATCCTTTGTATGGTTATGATTCCCCGCATTTAATGCTTTCAAGTATATATATGACAAGTATTTGATTGTTGCACGTATAGCAGTTGCAGATAGGGGTGGCAAAACGGGTCAGTCCGACCAGACCCGCTCCCAACCCGCCAAAAGTGGGTTGACCCCCCGCCCCGCCTCTTGAATTTGGGTTGAAAACCCCAACCCGCCCCGTTTTATGGTGGGTTAGCGGGTTGGCGGTCAACCCGTTTAAAAAATAAAAACTAAAAACTAAATTATATTTATTAATATTATAACATTAATTATTTTCACATCACATTCCCTTTAGTTTTTTTTAATCTTAAATCTAAATGTATGCTAATATTTAGTCAGATATTCTTTACAAACTTGTTTTTATCTATATACATAAATTATCTTTGTCATAAATAAAGTTTTTCTTCTATATTTTTTCTACATAGTACTAAGATAACAAAAAGTTGGATATCACAAAAGCTTAAAAACAAATAAAACATTACATAATAGTAAAAAAAAAAAAATGACCCGGCAGGCCAACCCGTTTTGACCCACAACCCAATGGGGCGGGTTGAAATATGTAACTCAACCCGCCCCGTTTCGGCGGGTTGACCTGTCGGGTTCAACCCATATTGTCACCCCTATTACAGAAATATAAACCCCATATATATATACATATATAGCTGGAGAAATATAAATTCCATATATATATATATACATATATATATATATATGTACATATAATATAAATTCCATATATATATATATATACATATATATATATATGTACATATATATATGTGTACATATATATATATATAGGGTTTATATTTCTGCAGTTGCTGTACGTGCAACAATTAAATACTTGTCATATATATACTTCAAGGCATTAAATGCGAGAAATCATAACCATACAAAGGATGAAAGCATTAAATGTGAGGAATCATAATCATACATCTCTTATTGTTGTACGTAAAATAACTGTAAAAATGATTTTACCTGTATATATATATGGATGGCTTCTTGAAAATAAAAAATTGTATAAAATACAAGCTAATATCTAGATATGTCCCAACTAGTGTCGAAGGACTGCCTAAACACTTCCAAAATTGTGGACTTGTTTTACCATATAAAAGTGCACAAGTCATTCAAATTTACTGTGCATAGTAATTTTTGAAAAATTATCCTCTCGTGTTATATAAGATAATTATTTTATGCTTTTCCAACATAAAAATTATGTCATCATTTTTTTTTAATAGATGGTGAATCTCATCACTTTGTATGTTTATGATAGAAAATACTTATATCCAACAACACGAGAAAACAAAACCTATAGTTTTTATATAAGTTTCATACACAATTAATCTAAACCTTCTTCTTTTTTTCCCATTGATCAAATGATTAGTTTAACCCAATCACGCACGGCTAGCGTGGAAGTTCAAAATTGAAAATCAATCAAGCTAGCTTGTTGATACTTTTACTCAATCATGTCCTTTCCTAAACATATTTCTCTCGAGCTCTTCATCAGCCGATAGATATTGACATGTTTGGTTTTGTTTTTATTTCCTATGAATGAAAATTGTTTGGCTTAGATAGATGTCATCATTTTTTGCTTTGAAAACACATAATTCTCTTTTTGTATTTCATCACATTCCTCCAACGACTTGAAAACATGCAACTGACAATATATAGAGAACTTGAGAGAGAGAAAAACACTCCAAAAACGGCAGGGAAAAAGAGTGGAATCGTAACAGTTTTTTTTTTTTTTTTTTCAGTTATGCAATTTGTTGTTTTAATCCATGAGTATATATGTATAAACTTGAAATGATAAGAATTTTCTTTTGATCAATTAGTTAATTATGTTTTTTTTAAAGCATATAATGCATCTTAATGAAGCTGGGCCGAATTCAGTTGTCTTTGATATGGATTACTATAATAATTCATGAACAAACTGTTGGGTTTCCTCCCTCAATGCTAAGCTCAAGCCCATTTGCGGAGTTTCCTAAAAACTCTAACCCTAATTTCCACCTCCTCTATATATACTCATTAGTTATGGGTGGAGGCTAGATTATATATGAGAGAATTTTATTTGACAGATATTTGAGAGAAAATTGTTTGAGCAAAGCTTTATGCTTTGCATTTGAAAGATCTCTAGAGAGAGTTTGAGTGAAACATCTCTATGGTAGTTTGATTATCTCCATTGTTGGAGAGGTTGAGTTAACCACCACATTGGTGTATTTGATTCTTGTAACCATTATTTTCATAGTGGATTTTTTGATTTAGACTAGGTCCCGTGGGTTTTTACTTCTTCATTGAAGAAGGTTTTCTCACGTTAAATCTGGTTGTGTTCTTCTTCTCTCTCTCATGTTTTTTCGTTTTAATTTTTCCGCTGCGCTGCCCGACCTGGTGAAGTTCAGGCCGAGGTATTGCCGAGATCCGAGATAAGGATCTTGTTGATTGACTTCCGCACAAAGGCTGCTTAGCCGAGCTTGAGGGAACCGAGTTTTCCCAACAGTGGTATCAGAGCCCGAGTTCGACGGGTTCTGAGGGAGACGAGATGGAGACCAGTGGCATAACCAATGATAGAGACATGTTCAAGTTGACCGCAGATAATTTCACCTATTGGAGGCCGATGATGGAAGATCATCTCTACTGCAAAGATTTACATGAGCCCATTATCCTTGATGAGAGACCAGCAGGCAAAACTGATAAGTAGTGGGAGATCCTGAGTCGGAAGGCGGTAGCCACGATCAGGAAATATATTGATAAAAGCCTCTTTGAGCACGTGTCCGAGTTCACGAACGCGTATGAGTTGTGGACGAAGCTGGAGTCCATGATTCAGAAGAAGACCCCCAGGAATAAAGCATACCTGATTCACCGACTTGTGAAGCTTGAATACAAGGACGACATGAGCATGATTGAACACCTCAACACCTATAAAGGTATTGTGAATCAGCCGTAAAAAGCTGAGATGAAAATTGATGATGAGATGCAGGCTTTGCTGCTGTTGAGCTCGCTGCTAGAAAGCTGGGATACTCTGGTGGTGACTTTGAGTAATTCAGCTCCAGAAGGAAAGTTGAAGATGGATGTCGTGACAGACAGCCTCCTGAGCGAAGAAGTCAGGAGAAGAGAACGAGGTGTTTCGAGCACGTCTGAGGCCAACATTGCTGAGAACAAAGGGAAATCCGATTCCCGGGGTAGAAGCAAAAGTAGGGGTAGAGGTCGTGACAGACAAGAAAAGTCCAGAGGTCAATCAAAGCCGAAATATGATTTGAAGTGCTTTTACTGTGGAAAGACAGGCCATGAGAAGCCAAACTGCTGGACCCTGCAGAATGACGAGAAGAACGGCTCTGTGAAGCCGGATTAGATTATTCCCAATAAGAGGGAAGACAAGAGCACCATTGCGGTGGCTACCAACCCGGATGTTGAGATATTTCTCCTTGGTGAGGATAATTATTTGAATGTTGCATATGATGACTGCACCTGGATTGATGACTCCGGTGCCTCCTTCCACGTTACTCCACACAAAGGTTTTTTCTCCTCTTACCTAGGTGGTTATTTTGGAGTCGTGAAGATGGGAAATCAAGTGACCAGCAAGATTGTTGGTGTCAGTGATGTAACTCTGACCACAGATGTCGGATGCCGACTTGTGTTGAAAGATGTAAGGCATGTTTCTGACATGCGTTAGAACCTAATCTCGGTAGGCAAACTTGACGATGTCGGGTTAGTAAACTACTTCGGTAGTGTTAGATGGAAGCTGTCCAAGGGAAATTTGGTCGTGACCCGAGGTAAGAAGGAAGGCTCCCTGTACGTGATGCAAGGAAAGATCAATGGCGGAGAAGCCAATTCTGTCCGAGATGAACCTAGCTTGGAGCTATGGCACAAGCGCCTCGACCACATGAGCGAGAAAGGGCTCTAAATCCTGAACAAGAAAGGATTACTGACCGGGTTGAAAGGCCAAGTGTTGGAGAGTTACACGCATTGTCTAGCTGGAAAGCAGCACCGGGTTTCTTTTGTGAGACCAGATCAAACCAGACGACACAGGTATATTCTTGACCTCGTCCATACTGATGTCTGCTCCATGTCTGAAAGATCCCTTGGAGGAGCTCAGTACTTTGTTTCATTTATTGATAACTACTCCCGCAAAGTGTGGGTATATTTGTTGAAGTCTAAAGATCAGGTACTTCAATCCTATAAAGAATTCCATGCAATGGTTGAAAGGGAGACTGGCAAGAAATTGAAGGTTGTCCGATCTGATAATGGTGGTGAGTATTGTGGCCCTTTTGATGCATATTGCAGAGAGGCCGGGATCCGACTTGAGAAGACGTCCCCCAAGACTCCACAGTTGAATGGACTTGTTGAGAGGATGAACAGAACTATTGAAGAGAAGGTCCGAAGTATGTTGT